TATATTTATATTTGATCCAAAAAATTTGTGCTGGTTGGTAGTTTGTATTCACACGTTTCGACTTGTAAATGTAAACTTGCAAGGTTTATTTAAAAGAGCAATACACAAGTTTCTTGCTCGTTCTTCTTGTTATGAGACAGCTTTCCGAACGAGCGGTAGGTAAAAAAAATGTTATGACAATTCAAAAGTGCTTAAATTAAGTTTATTTGAATAAATGATTTTCTATTCTATTCTATTTCGAATTAATTATCTTTATCTAAACCTGCAATCAAATAAATTACAAGTCTGTTTGTACTTTCCTATTAATAGCTTATCAAATGGTATATTAAGGTTTCTTAAGGGTCGGCAACGCGCACGTAACACACCTGGTGTTTCAGGCGACCATAGGCTACGGTAACCATTTACCATGAGATGGGCCGTATGCTTGTTTGCCACCATAGTGGTATAAAAAATTACATCCAATAAAATACCTACTTAAATAAAAAAAGAATTGTTTGTGTTTTAGCTTGTTTATCTCTGTAACGGCTGGACCGATTTAGACGGAACTTTCACTCGCAGATAGCTAATATAAAGAGTAGTTGTTTATCTGCGATGGACTCCTAAACTACTGAATCGATTACAAATTTGATTCGCACATTGTGTGCAATTTGATCCAACTTGAAAGATAGGATAGCTTACATCTCAATTTATAGTCGCAATATTATTTTATTCAAGAACCTTAGCTACAGCAAAGCGTGGCCGGGTCTGCTAGTTTATTTATATAATTGGAATGGTAAACATCCTACCACTGAATGGTAACATCTATTTACCGCTGTTAGTATACGATAGACACATATAGTACGATCGATTTTGTCATTTTGCTGGAATGGCATACCGTATATTAAGGTTGCTTAAGGGTCGAGAACGTACATGTGACACCAGGGGTGCCAGACGTTCACGACGGTACGGTAACAGTTTACCATCAGAGAAGCCACCAGTTTGCTATCATCGTGGTATATAAAAATGGCAAGCAAGTTGACTGCCCAGCTGGTAAATGGAAACCGTGTATACATTTTTTAATAGATTATAATGGAATGAGTGACCGACATAGCCCGAAGAATTGCGACTTTGAAGTGGCAATGGGCAGGGCACATAGCTCGTAGGACAGATGGCCGTTGGGGCAGTAAAGTCCTCGAGTGGCGACCACGGACCGGAAGACGCAGCGTGTGAAGGCCTCCAGCAAGGTGGACCGATGATCTGGTCAAGATCGCTGGAAGGCATTGGATGCGAGCAGCGCAGGACCGATCGTCTTGGAGATCAGTGGACGTCTTCCGGGCTGCGATGATGATAATGATGATGATAATGGAATGGTGCACCAGCTTGTGCTAATAGCTCATGTTCATCTTATCATCCTCCACTGGCGGGGCACCAGTGGAGGATGAGCATGAGGTCAGTTTGACCATCATGGCAAATTCACCATCGATCCCGCGACCGTCTGAAGTAAGATGGCGTGATAAACCGCTAGACCACCGAGTCCGTCAGTGTAAGTACATACGTTTAAAATACGTAATAACTTACTATACATGGTAAAAACCATCACATCAGAACATTTTGTCTCTCTAGTTTATTAAAAGAGCAACACACAAGTTTCTTGCTCGTATGATGTGACAGCATTCCAAATGAGCGGTAGTTTAAAAAAATAAGTGATAACTAATCAAAAGTGCTTTAATGTAAATTTAATATATATTAATAAATAAATGACCCAGCACAATTAACACAACGCAATCTAGTCGAACAGTAAGCAGAGCTTGTTATCGGTACTAGATAACTGATACAAATAGATAGATTATTTTTTTGTAAATACGTATATAATATACATAGAAAGCACCCAGACCGATACAATCATACTAATGAATAAAAATTTGCACCGTGCAAGGAATCGAACCCGCGACCATCGGAAGTAAGTGTGCTAAACCGCTAGACCACCGTGACCGCTTCATTACTGTACCTCGTATGTGTGACTTTTAATACAAATAAAACTTTTGGTCTTCTTATTATTTTTACTTGCAATTTGACGCAAAATATGAAAAATGTTAGACCTACAAAGAGAATCTGGAAGTTTTTATATTCGTTTATCCATATTTAAAACTAGCTGTACCCACGACTTCGTCCGCGTGGAATTTAACTTTTTTTTCTAAAATAAAATTAGCCTAAGTTACTCCTTATTACATCAGCAACCTGTGAAAAAAAGTCCCGTTAAAATCGGTCCAGACATTTCAGAGATTAGCCGGAACAAACAGACAGATTAAAAATTGTAAAAAATGTTTTTTTGGTGTATGTACCGTATTTATTTAAATTCATATGCCTGTAGTAAAAAACGGTTATTATAATATTACAAACAGACACTCCAATTTTATTTATATGCATAGATATGAGACTTCTTGTATACATTTTGTTTTATACACTTCTGTCACTGCGCTCTCCTATAATAAACGTCTCTACAAGCATCTTCATTATTTTCATTCATTTTTACGAAAATAATTATTTTTACTTACAATTTGGTGCGAAATATGAAAATATTTTTTTTTACTTGCAATTTGACGCGAAATATAAAAAGAACAGAAATTCGTACCCTCTATATTTGGACCCCATATCCATTAGATACGGTGACGTCAGGGACAAGGTCGTTGAACCCCGCATCCCCCGCGTTAGGGTGAACGACCCTCAATTCGGGGGTGTTGTTCCTGTAGATTATTATCTTGAGTTTTTAAATTGGAATATTGGGTAAAGTTTGGCCGAGGTCAACTTTGTACAATTATGTAGTTTTTTTAACGCATACGAGCATGCGGCTCAACTGATGGTAAGTGATTACCGCCACCCAAGAGCACCCGCAACACCAGGGGAATTGCAAGTACGTTGTCGGCCTTTTAAAAAGGCCCTTTCATATTGAAAACTTGATTTCAATATGAAAGGACGCGCCGCCTTGCTCCGCATACACTGTTGCAACCAGATAGAAGCGAGCAAAGCTTGGAGACCTATGCTTTTTTTATACTACGATAGTTTTTTTATAGCAGGTTTGTAGCACAAACGAGCTTGCGCTCACCTGATGGTAAGTAAGTACCGTTGCGCATGAGCACCCGCAATGCCAGGGGAATTGCAATTGTTTGAAGTTGCCGGCCTTTTAAGAAGGAATAAGCTCTTTTCTTGAAGGTTTCAATATCGTATCGGTTCGGAAATACCATTGCTAGAGGGTGTTTCCACAATGTGGTTGTGCGTGGAAAAAAATTTGTAAAAAACTGCGCTGTGGAGGACCGCCATTCAACCAGATGATCAAGATGGTATTTTAGTTTAAAGTGTAAGCGACTAATTTATCAAAACCCTTTCTTAGGGGATGCCTACGTCATAGTAGCTTTATGCATGCAAAGTCTCAGCCCGATCGGTTTAAAATTGACAGTTTCATATAAAATTTCATCCCCTATTTTATCCCTTTGGGGGTAGAATTAATCAAAATCCTTCATCCAAAATCAAAAAACGCGGACGCCTACGTCATAACATCTACCTGCATGCCAAATTTCAGCCCGATCCGTCCAGTGGTTTGGGCTGTGCGTTGACAGATCACTCTGTCAGTCACTTTTGTATTATATATATTTAGATTTTGCCCAATTTAAATAATAATAAATGTGGTAAAAGGTATAGACTGTAATTTAGAAAGATTTCTAAATTATAGTTTTTACCCGCGGCTTCGCTCGCATTTAAGGGAGATTAAAAAAAAAAAATTTTTTTAGGTAAATAAAAAGTATCCTATGTTCATTCTAATACCTCCAAGAGGGGGGGTCAGGTTGACCTTCACATGGTTCCCCCCTGGATATCCCCTATCGTGATAAATTCTTGGTGAATTTCTCACAATGTGCTAACTGACCTGACCTCATGCTCATCTTATCATCCTCCACTGGTGCCCCGCCAGCGTGCCGTTAGCGCAGGCGAGTGCACCATTACATTATCTATACATCTATACATATAAATAAAATTGGAGTGTCTGTTTGTAATATTGAAATAACAGTTTTTTACTACATGCATATGAATATAAATACGGTACGTACACCAAAATAACTTTTTTTATATTTTTGTCTGTCTATCTGTCGGTTTGTTTGTTCCGGCAGTCGCAGGTTTTGTATTCATGAGTATGTTTGTATAGGTCTGGATGTTTTCTATGTATATTATGTATGTAAAACTCAAACATATACATAACAAATAAAAGTGCATAATGTAAGTTACTATTTATAACATTTTTAGAGATTAGCCGGAACAAACAGACAGACAAAAATTGTAAAAATGTTATTTAGGTGTAAGTACTGTATTTATATTCATGTGCATGTAGTAAAAAACGGTTATTTCAATATTACAAACAGACACTCCAATTTTATTTATATGTATGGATAATGGAATGGTGCACCCACCTGCGCTAACGGTTTACGCTGGCGGTCAGGTCAGTAAGCACATTGTGAGAAATTCACCAAGAATTTATCACGATAGGGGATATCCAGGGGGGAACCATGTGAAGGTCAACCTGACATGGTGCATTGCTACTAATGGGGTCATTAATACACATTATTAACAAGGATACTTTTTATTTACCTAAAAAAATTTTAATATATATAATATCAATACTATTATTGAAATGCCACAACTTCTGTATGTTCGTTACACGACTAAACGACTAGGAATTTAAAAAAGGTCTTTAAAAAATAAAACATCATTGTGTACTTTTAATATTTATTTAAAAATCATTTCATTGGTACTACATTTCATCAGATAACGCAAAAACCATGTTTAGAAAAAGCAGTCCTGTTTCTTTTGATATAAAAAAACTACTCTTTTACACTCTATTTCAATATATAAAACATATGTTTCTTCTTTATTTTAGGCCATGTATGTAATATATCATATATATGTATATATTTCTTTACAATTTTACACTTTCATGATTTTTACCTCTCTCTCGTTCTTGTCACAGATCTCTGTCTAGTCTGACGTCACATATTATGAAATTTTTCATTAAACTCGCCAACATAGCAATTTAAACCTTAATGCTCATACAGATAAAGTTGGAAATATTCCAAACTCATTAATCTAAACAACTCTCTCCCTAAAGAGATAACTTCTACTAGTGTGACGTCACATATTTTAAAAATTTTCATTCAACACATCAACAAAGCAATTTTAACCTTATTGCTTATACATATAGAGTTGGATCGATTTCAAATCTTTTGCTAATAGTCAAACATTACTCACAATATTGGGTTTTGAAATGTGACAACATGAACCTCCCCATGTCACAGTGTCACACTTTTTCGAACCTCTCCCTAAATGTGACATAATTGAAGGCCTTTTATGATATATTCGTACGACATATATTTAAATTCACTGTTTAACTAGATATTTTGTTGCAAATCTCACAGACAAATTTCTCTGTACCTGAAAAGAGAACATATTATTAGCATATATGTGAGGACGACGGTCTCGGTGGTCTAGCGGTTTAGCACACTGATGGCCGCGGGTTCGATTCCTCGCACGGTGCAAATATTTGTATTCATGAGTATGACCGTTTGTATCGATCTGGGTGTTTTCTATATATGTATATAGTATTTACAAAAAAAACATTTGTATTCATGAATATGATTGTTTATTTGTGTATTTTCTATATATATTTATGTATGTATTTACAAAAATTATCTAAGTATTTATATCAGTTGTCTAGTACCCATAATACAAGCTCTGCTAACCTTGGAACTAGATGGCGCTGTGTTAATTGTCCAGGGTTATTATTTTATATGTATAAATCTATACTAATATTTACACATGATTAGAGGCATAATATCAGAGTCCTCTAGAAATAGTGCAATGTATGAGCGGTACCACTTGTGTTACATGATAACGTGATGTCCATAATGCTGTTCATATATATAGGCGACTGTTATCCGTTATCATCCGGCGGGCCGTAAGCTTGTATGTCATTCCAATTACAGAAAAAAAGAAAAAACCTTTATGGGCGGCGATGTGAGCACGCAGCGACTTAATACTGCTGCACATCTTCTGACAAATTCTACACTTGTAGTGGTACTCCAGAATCTGAAAAAGAAAGAATTTATACGAATGTTATAAATACGAAATTGTGTCAGTCTCTCTGTTTGCTATATTCTGAACGTATGTGAACGAAATTTTATGAAACTATATTTGCTTTACTTGAATGTAAAAAATAATCTGTTTTTTGTAAACATGCATACTAGGTCTAGGTGTAAATGTGCATATTAGGTGGCATGTGCACACATTTCTTGTGCACGTATTACCTCTTAACCACACGCCGCCTCCTGTGCATACATCATCTAGTCACCCGGTGCCTCCTGCTCATACGGCGTCTCCTGTGCACAATTTACCTCCTGTCACACGCCGCTTTCTGTGCACACATCATCACCTGTCACACGCCGCCTTTTGTGCATACATCACCTCCTGTCACACGTCGCCTCCTGTGCACACGCCGCATCCTGTGCGCACACACACACACACACACACACACACACCGGTACCTGCGCTAGCTCGGCGGCGACCCGTGCTCGCCTGGGTCGCAGTGCGGGCGCGGGGTGCGTGCGCACGTGCGTCAGTAGACTGTACGTCACCTCCACTGTTCACACACACACACACACACACACACACACACACACCGGTACCTGCGCTAGCTCGGCGGCGACCCGTGCTCGCCTGGGTCGCAGTGCGGGCGCGGGGTGCGTGCGCACGTGCGTCAGTAGACTGTACGTCACCTCCTCTGTACACACACACACACACACACACACACACACACACACACACACACACACACACACACACACACACACACACACACACACACACACACACACACACACACCGGTACCTGCGCTAGCTCGGCGGCGACCCGTGCTCGCCTGGGTCGCAGTGCGGGCGCGGGGTGCGTGCGCACGTGCGTCAGTAGACTGTACGTCACCTCCTCTGTACACACACACACACACACACACACACACACACACCGGTACCTGCGCTAGCTCGGCGGCGACCCGTGCTCGCCTGGGTCGCAGTGCGGGCGCGGGGTGCGTGCGCACGTGCGTCAGTAGACTGTACGTCACCTCCTCTGTACACACACACACACACACACACACACACACACACACCGGTACCTGCGCTAGCTCGGCGGCGACCCGTGCTCGCCTGGGTCGCAGTGCGGGCGCGGGGTGCGTGCGCACGTGCGTCAGCAGGCTGTACGCGCTCGGACAACCACGCGCGCACACGCCGCACCTCACCTCCTCTGTACACACCAAAACATACCATATGTACTATAGAATTAAGTGTTATTTTGCGGTAGTCATGTGGTAGACTTATATTATTTTGTTTCGGCTACCATTAGTGTTGGAGTCTCTTTGACTTGGACTTCTCGCTGGCCGCTTATACTACGATAAAAGCTTAAATAAGATATTTCAAATGATTAAGTGCATTATGACGATTATAACACGCGAGGTGGAATTTCAGCCCGAACCGAAGGCGAAGACATAACAGAGCCGAGTGTGCTAAATACGCATGATGCGATATTTTTCAATACACTTAATTTTAAATAAACTGGACACTTATTTTACTTTTTTAAATCAGCGTATTGCCTACTAGCAGCGCGGTGAAGTTGAGAAACTCTTTAGATATATATATATATATCAAAACTTATTTTTGTATTCTTTAATCAAAAGTATATAACAAAATGATATATATGTCACTTCATTATCTCTATCATTACCATTAAAATATTATAAATAGTAAGAAATAAAAAGAATATTCAAATAAACTTAATATAAGCACTTAATAATAATCACATATTTTTTTATTCTACCACTCATTCGGAACGCAGACTCATCACAAGAATGAGCAAGAAACTTGTGCGTTGCTCTTTTAAATAAATGTTATTTTAAGTTTTACTGCAACAGTTGGTCACTTCGAAATTTGGTTAAAAAGTAACAAATAGCCAGCGAGGCAGAAACAGATTTGACTGATTTCCTCCAGGAATATTTCTAAGATAGTTAAGGTAATTATGTTATGAAGCCGAGTGACAGTCAGCTGCGATTCCGAAAGTCGGTTGATGGGAAACACAGTCTCAAAAATGTAAATTAAAAAAAAATCAGTAATGTCTTGGTTCCTGTTGCTAGAAAATCATAGTTAACGCTTGTTCAGAAAACTGAGAAGAGAGGGGTGAGGCACATGCCGGTATCGCTGATCGTCGCAGCGTGATCTCCAGGCGGGAATTGCGGTCTGCTATTCCCACCTAGAGATCACGACGAATTCCCGTGTCACTTAATACTAAACCATAAAATTTTCTGTACTTTATACATCTTATATATAAAATTCTCGTGTCACAGTTTTCGTTCCCATACTCCTCCGAAACGGCTTGACCGATTCTGATGAGATTTTTTGAGCGTATTGAGTAGGTCTGAGAATCGGCTAACATCTATTTTTCATCCCCCTAAATGTTAGGGGTAGTCCACCCTTAATTTTTTTTTATTTTAAGGCAAAACAACGTTTGCCGTGACAGCTAGTTAATATATATATATTCTTTATTGCACTTTTAAATACAGTTGTAAACATAAATATATGCAGAGTGAGCAAAGGTGGACTTATCTCTAAAAGAGATCGAGCTCGATCGAGAGATCGATCTAGAGAGAGAGTGATTAAGTTATTGGTTGATGTGAACCGGCAAATAACAACACTTATAACATCCCAGGCCTTACAAGTGGTCATAAATTGTTAAATTTGATAAATTTAACCTCGATCCGATCTCACGTGTTGTTTTATTCGCCAGTTCGCAATAATCAATGCCCTTATCAGCTGCAACCGGCCTTCTCGAGGGTGGTGCATCTTCGACATCAAAATTGCCGGATAGAAATTTAGCTAACCAGTTTTGGCAATGGCGTACTGTTAACACACTTTCTCCACACATATCGGTCAATTTCTTTCTGGCTTGAACAGCATTTTTGCCCTTTCTGTAGTAAAACAGTAAGATGTGTCGAAAATGCTGCTTATTCCTCTCCATATTTAAAAGGGCACCAAACAAAAACTACTGCGTAGAATTAATTGTAATTTTTCACACATAAGCTTTGCTATATGAGCTCTCAAAGCATATATATTTAAAATTATACAGGTTAAGTGTGAAGTTGAATGCAAAAACCACAATTAAATCCTAAGTTAGGAAAAAACGAAATTACTTTCCGAACAACGATATAGTAATAATATATTTTAGAATAATAGATAGATAATATAATAATTTTAAACTATTCTCGAAGTTTATTTTATGTCTTCATAATTCGAGACTTCTTAGTTTTTCGTTCGACTTATCTATCTATCTATCTTATCTATCTATCTAATCTATCTATCTTATCTATCTATCTTATCTATCTATCTATCTTATCTATCGAGACAACGCTAATAGGAACAACGAGTGTGTGATACATACTCTTAATATTCTTCTTGGTGCCCCTCCACGAAGCCTGGTAGCACGGCGCGCACATCTTGCAGTGTGCGACTTGCTTCAGATATCTCCTATCGTCTTCATTTTCACTATTAATTTGGTTATCTCTGTAATAGCAAGTATTTATTAACTAGCTGTTACACGCGACTTCATCCAACGTAAACCTTATAATGGGGGGGAGGGGGGGAGGGGATTGTTAGTAATATGGACTAATGACCCCATTACTAGCAATGTACCATGTCAGGGTGACCTCCACGCGGTTCCCCTGGAAACCATAGTGATAAATTCTTGGTGAATTTGTCACGATGGGCTAACTGATCTTTTTTTATTTTATTTATACCAAAAACTAACAATCTCTACAATCGGGAGAATCTAATAAGAACAATAAAATACATATTATTGATATTTTTTTTATTATTAAAGTATAAATTAAAAATGTCCACAACCTTATCTGTCCAGATCATTCACTGGTAGAGAATGTCATCAGGCATTAAGTCCGCCATGTGTATAATTTTATGTGCAAAATAATAAATATCAACCTGTTCCAACAGTATCCATAAACATCTTCCTAATTATATACTTTATGCATTAACAATTTCCAAGTCTAAAACAAGTTTAAAACAGTGATGTAAGGCTGCATGGAAGAATCGTCATTTTCAAAGCGAGAAGCTTTGTTTGAATGTTTGGATTCCTGTATGGATATTTGTCATTTTTGAAGTTAGAACGAAGAAACTTTTTTATTAGAAATAAATATTTCCTCATTTTCATTCCTATCAATTGCAATAAATACCGTCTATGACTGTATTGAACGCTTACCATCAGGCAGGCTTTATTATCTCATAGGGAAGAAACGAGCTTACGACTCAGCTGATGGTAAATGATTACCACATCCCATTAGCACCCGCAACACCAGGAGAATTACAAGTGCGTTGCCGGCCTTTTAAGATAGAATAAGCACTTTTCTCGAAGGTTTCAACATCATATAATTCAATTACTGATATACTTAGTAAGAGGGTAAAAAATTACCCATCTTCCAGTAGACTTATTGATTTTTTTTAGGATGGAAATGGGTATAAAAATTTACAATAAGATAGCAAAGGATATACTGGAATTACGTTTAAATGAATTCAAAACATCTGTTAAATCATATTTACTGAGCAAAGCCTATACTCACTAGACGATTACTGAAATGACGAAACGTGCATGGCGACAGTTGTTCATGCACGGGATTTTTTTAATATTAGACATAGACACCTATATAAGTAAACAATGTAACAACACTGGTTTTAAAAAAATCAATTCAATTAAGTTACTTACCAGTTCTTTACAATTGAATCTGTATACTGAACTGGACGGTATGGAATCATTACATAGTATAAAGTCGCTGTCGCTGTCTGTCCGTCCCTATGTATGCTTAAATCTTTAAAACTACGCAACGGATTAGAACTGGTTTTATTTTAACAGATAGAGTGATTCAAGAGGAAGGTTTATATATATAATACATGTACATAATATAAATGACGTAGTGGAGTAACTTGAAACAGTCATGCTCGCTATAAAGTTCACACTTGTGGCGGCGTGGTGGGCCGGGTCGATATGCTCCCTCTAATATGGTTGAGTGCAATGATGGCTGGCTCATCCGTCATACTCGCGTACGGGTGCTGCTTGTGGGGACTGGTCTGTTCAGGTTGCGAACACTGATTAGATTTTTTGATTTTTTTTATTTTTTTTTATATAGCATATGCTGGTGGTCACTCTATTCTCCCAATTTTGAATTTAAATGAAATAGTATTATTGTAAATATGTACAACATAAAAAAAAATACGAGCTGAGTTTCTTGTCAGTTCTTCTCATCTCGAAATCATTCCCGAACTGACGGTAGATTTGACATATCATAAGAGTCTGTAATAGACCTACATGAATAAAGATATTTTGAATTTGAATTTGAATTTGTACACCCGTGCTAAGACGGCGCGAGCAGCTGGTAAAAATTAATACAAAAAATTTGACGTTTACAAGTGGCTAAAATCTCCTGCATAAATAAAGTATTTTTAAATATTCTGTGGGTATTTTTATTAAAATTTTATTTCTTTATAATTGTTTATTTTTTCTTTTATCCATTACGTATATGGGTCATTGTCAAATTTTGCGCAGGTAAACTAGTCCCTCGACCCTTTTTATTTATTAATTGTTAATAATGTCACAACCTCTAACAAAATTTACATGAAATTCAATATATATCGCATTAACAAACATCCATTACAAAGTAAAAACATGGGTCATATTTTTTATAAGTTTTTTTAAAGTAACACATTGGTCATTTCTGGTAACAGAATGGTTTTTCTTCGAAACTCTACCTGTCCCAGACACAACTCCGATAGTAAAAATCAATATAACTTTATTTTCTGCTATATCAATCTACATAATTAAATATTTTAGCATAAATTGAGTATTTCGAATATTCATAAAATATATTTAAAAATTGGTTAGTATAAAAATGTAATTTATAAAAAAATCCTAAACTTTGTCCCACGTATTGCATGGAACTATCTGTACACCTATGTTATTAAGTAAATCACGATTCAAAGTAGAGATTGCGTTGCTTTCAACTATCTATTAGCTTGGGCAGAGTGTCGGTATCTATTGTGGTTCTTCTCTAGATCGGGGGGAGGGTACATCACTTCTCAGTGGACCGCGAAGTGTTAAACGTGCTGCGTGTTTTTATTGTGCATCCACTGTGTTACGTACACCTATTCTTGTAAGTAAATCTTTATTTTTAATATTATACGTTTGGTATGTAGCCTAAGAAATAAATATTCTGAACGTGAAAGATATTTGATACATTACGCTTTATTTTATGACATATGTCTTACGGAATGTAAAATTTACTACTCTGTTACTATACAACTCTGTTACTAGCGCGTGCTAACAGAGTTGTTAAGAAAGTAACAGAGTTGAAAAATCCCATATTATTTCAACTTTGCTAAAATGTTATACTTTAAATTTAATTTTTTTGAATAATCAATTTTCTGAAATAATGTGTAAACGTACTAACATACAAATAAAGTGTATCAACTATAATAATCCAAAAACATTGTTACAGGATACTGTGTCTGTTTGCACTTTTAATATGCCTCTCACGCCTGCTGGAAAGCAGCGACGATACCGGGAACGGCGTAAAAATAATCCCGAAAAGGAAGCAGAATCTAAAAGAAAGGAGAGAGGTACCATGCAAACAAACGTTTAGTACGAGATTTAACAACACGTGAACATCGAGCAATAAAAAAGAAATGGCGATCTGCAAATGCTAAACGGAGAGATAAGGCTAGAACTCACATTGTTAGTATGCACACACCAGAGTCATCACCCTCTCGTTTAAATAGTCCAGTCCCTTCCAGTCCAAGACCTAGTTATTTCAAGAGCTTTTCAGAATTTGTCTACACTCCAGCTGTCTACTTCCCGTGAAAACAATCCTAGCTCTACCACTTCCGCGGTTGTTCGCGGCAGAAAGCAAGTAAAGAAAAACAGGTCGAAGTTATTTAGAGATAACATGAAATTGAAGGATCAATTAGAGGCAGCAAATAAGAGATACGAAAAATATAAAAAACGATACAATAGAGAAAAACAAAAGAAATCTAAAAATGAAGATAGCAATAGAGAAAATCAACAGAAATATAATATATTATCAAATGCTATTAGAAAACGGTATGAAAACGTCAAAAATCGAAAGGGAAAATATGCTATCCAAAAAATATTTGAAGAGAAGACTATTAAATATTCTAGGCAGAAGATACAAATCCTACAAGAATGTCTTGCTGTCGACCAAGGATACATACGAAAAAAACAGCCCCTCTTTAAGAAAACCATTTTAAGTACCAAAATCAAGAATTTTTTCGATCGTGACGACGTATCAAGAGCGACTGCCGGAAAAAAGGAAACGGTATCTAAAAAAAAAGACAAAATGCAGAAGCGCTACTTACTCGACAATATGAAAAACCTTTATGTAGCTTTTAAACAAGAAAACCCTAATTTGAGATGTAGTTATAAAACTTTTACACGATATAGACCATTTTATGTTGTGTTTCCTACTGTTACTGCAAGAGAAACATGTTTGTGTCGAATACATACTAATATTCAATACATAGCATTTGCTTTGTATAAAAATAAAGTTATTCCAACCTCAGATCTTAATAAGATTATTGTAAATCAAGTATGCAATCCAGATTCACCAGCATGTATGACAAGAATCTGTTTTGAATGTCAATCAAATGCCACTGTTTTTGATACGTCAAAAGACGAAATTATAGTAAAATATCCTCAATGGTTAAGTAAAATTCAAGTTATAGAGAAGTCAGGAAAGAAATTCAAAGTAACAAAAAACATTAAAGAAGAAATAAAGAGCACAGGAAAGGATTTGATAAATAAGTTTGAAATTACACTGAAGGAATTTAAAAGGCACATTTATTACATTAAAAGTCAGTACAGAAACTATAGAAAATGCATAGATGAGTTGGCTATAAATGAAATTGCAGTGCACATTGACTTCAGTGAAAATTATAACTGTAAATATTTTGAAGAGGTACAATCTCACCATTTTGGCGGTAAAAGACGATACTACCAATTTGATACACCTTTAGATATATTTGAAAAATAAGTAACTTCAACTTTTCAGTTACCCTCTCAAGGCAATCTCATTTTTATTTTTATAAAGTTCATTCTGGATTTGTAAATTCGATTCATTTAATTATTATTAATAACAAAGTTTATTATTTATGTTGTGTAAGATCTTAAACTACGTGCAATTTCTCTATATTAGGTATAAAAAAGAACAACTATGTTAATGTGTTACAACTCTGTTACTTTCTTGTCCCAAACATTAAAGAACTAATCAAAGATTTTTAGGAAAAGCTAGTTAATGTAATATATCAATATCACAAAACGGTAATGTATCTGATACGTATACGCTAATGTGTTACAGTTATCTCTTAATGTATGTATATTTGGAGGATTTAGGTAGAATTTAAGGTCTGTCAATATTCAAGAAGTAACAGAATTGTTTAAGAGTTTAAATTTATGATTGTTAAACAAAAAAAAAATGTTTTGATTCTAAATGTGATTATAAGGTATAAGACTGTAATTAATATTAATGCCAAAATATTTGCGGCTGATTTATTAAATTATACAATAAAACGTAAAGCATACTGATAACAGAGTTGTATTTATTTACACCCTGACCAGCGAAATCTGGAATAAATCTTAAATTTTTAATTAAACATCGCGGACGACGATTATATAACGTAATTCAATTGTTTTAACAGGCACGGACAATACTAAAAGCAAGGTTAAAATACATTTATATTTTTATGTTTTTGTAATTTTGAGTTACGTTTACCTGCGCAAAATTTGACAATGACCCATATAATGTTTTAGGATTATTATTTAATATTATTAATATATAATTTTAATTTTTATTATTTATATACTTTTCTCTTGATATTATTATTTTAATTTTAATTGCATAATATCTGATTTATTAAGTTAATGTATACGTATTTTTTAATTGTAATATTTGCGCGTCCGTACTGAGGGCCCACTTGAAAATCAGCGCTGGAAACTACTTCCAGCATTATGCTGAGTTGTGGTCCACATTGACTCCGTTTTTTAATGTGTAAATTATTCTTGTATTTCTTATTATTACTGTAAAAACGAGTTAATAAAAATTCTATTCTATTTAAGTTATATAAATTTGACACCATCAGGCGGGCCCTATGCTTGTACACCTATAGTAGAGTTACTTACGCGTCATCAGTATCGATCAGCTTATAAACTGACGAGATGGACTCCTTCGGCTTGTAGACGACCAGACTATCGCCATCTTTGTTATCCTCTTTTGTAATTAACACTTCGAATGTATGTCGGTAGCTTTTCGGTTTCTTGTTGGGCTGCAGATCGTATGTATCTATTCGCTTCTTCTCCCGATACCTGGGGAGGATACTTTGGAATATCTGAGATTTCTTCACTCCATCCTCATTTTCTACGGAAGTTTTCGACCAGATCGCCGTTTCGTATTTACCTGTAAATAATAATAAATGACGACCTCTGTGGTTTAGCGGTCTAGCACAGTTACTTCCGATGGTCGCGGGTTCGATTCCACGCACGACATAAACATTTGTATTCATGAGTATTATTGTTTGTATCGGTCTGGGTGTTTTCTATGTATAATATGTATGTATTTACGAAAAAAAAAATATTTGTAACAGTTATCTAGTGCCCTGAATACAGGCTTTAGCTAGATGGCGCTGTGTGAATTGTCCAAAAAAAAACTAGTGATCGCCCGTTGGTTGAGATAGGCGTCTATAGGCTATGGTAACCGTTTACAATCAGATGGGCCGTATGTTTGTTTGTCACCTTCATAATGTAAAAAAAATTAGGCCTAAATTGATGTTCATGTAGATCCGCTGTCTGTTCGCTTAGATCTTTTAAACTACGCAATAGATTTTAATGCAGATTTTAAATAGAGTGATTGAGATTCAAGAGAAAGGCTTATCTATACATCTATACATATAAATAAAATTGGAAGTGTCTGTTTGTAATATTGAAATAACAGTTGTTTACTACATGCATATGAGTATAAATATAGTACATAAGCCAAAATAACATTTTTTACAATTTTTGTCTGTCTGTCTGTTTGTTCCGGCTAATCTCTGAAATGGCTTGACCGATTTTGATGGGACCTTTATTGGCAGGTAGCTGATGTAATGAGGAGTAACTCAGGCTACTTTTATTTTAGAAAAATAAAGTTAACTTCCACGACGAAGTCGCGGGTACAGCTAGTGCTTTTTTTTTTATGGATGATAATGGAATGGCTCACCCGCCTGCGCTAACGGTTTACGCTGGCGGGGCACCAGTGGAGAATGATAAGATGAGCATGATGTCAGGTCAGTTAGCCCATCGTGACAAATTCACTAAGAATTTATCACGATGGTTTCCAGGGGGAACCGCGTGGAGGTCAACCTGACATGGTACATTGCTAGCAATGGGGTTATCAATCCACATTACTAACAATCCTTTTCCCCCCTACAGCTAGTGCTAGTAGCTACTAGAAAAACGAATTACTGTCTGTTAGTCACGCTAAAACTTGAGAACGACTGAATCGATTTGGCAAATGTTAGCCTTGAAATATTCGTGGAAGTCCAGTGAAGGTTTAAACGGTGATAAAATATTAAGAAATTGCATGTAAAATAGTAAAAATAACAATTTTATTTTATCGTACAAACTGCGTAACGTACGTAACGTGCGCCGACCCCAAATAATGGGATAAAGGCAAGGCAATGATGAGGCAATGATGATTTTATCGTACAAACTGCTGATACCTGTCAAACAGGGTGCGTTCAGAAATTTATTGCGTAACTAAACTTCAAAAAACTGTTGACATATTTAATTTTGAGGCGGAACAAAGTTCGCGGGGTAAGCTAGTTCATCATCTGCTTCATCCTTATCCCATTTATTTGGGGTCGGCGTAATATGTTTTTCGTTTCCATTCATCCCTGTTCGCAGTCATCGCGTTATTTACTTCCTTTCTTACCATATCATCTTTCACACAGTCCATCCATCTCTTTTTTGGCCTTCCTCTGCCCTTATAACCATCCACATTCATTTGTAACATCTTTCTTAAAATATTATCCTCGTTCCTACGCATTACATGTCCATACCATGATAGACGATTACTCTTCAACCTCTCTGACACCGGTGCCACTTTCATACTTCCTCTAATGTATTCATTCTTTATCTTATCCATTCTTGTCACACCACACATCCACCTCAACATTCTCATTTCAGTTGCATGCAGTCGTCTTTCATCCGTCGCCTTTACGGGCCAGCACTCTGATCCATACAAGACAGCAGGCTGGTCTTGTAAATTTTCCCCTTAAGCTTAAGAGGAACACGCGAGTCACACGTCGTTGCCGTGCCGGGGTAAGCTAGTTGTATATAAAAAAGCAGATTGACAATTAGCAGTATTCAAAAAGAAAAGAAAATGTTTTAGAATACTCACCTGTTGCTTTATTAACTATATTCCTCAACACTATACTTCTAGTGGAACTCTTGGTGACTCCACGTTCTGGCTTCAAAACATTATCACTATGTTTAAAATGCTCCAAACATGCATTGTTCCAGCTCTTCAGTTTCTTTGCATCATTCTCACTCTTCTTGATTGCCCTGACTGGTAAACATAAGGGATCCTCAAAGTCTGGAATCCTTACGTTCCTGTTTTTTGGACTTACCTCTTTAATTTTAATTTTAGATTTGCTAGGTTTGTTTTGAGCGGATGGGTTAGGTTGGGTTAGCCTTCGAGGTGGGTTTGTAGGGGTCAATGTACGAGAGGCTTTAGACACTGTGTTTGTGGGGGTTGAAGAGTATTTTGGCATTTTTTTTATATTTTTCTTCTTTTTTACGCTTAAATCGGGACTCGAGGCATCATCCCGGGGATCGTAGTCAGAATCTTCTTCCTGTAGTTTCCGTTTTTGCTTCGATCGTACTGGTTTTCGCTCGACTAAGTATTGCTCTGGATCTTCAGGGGCTGTAGTGTTCTGGACGCACTGCTGGACAATATCGGCGTCCTCGTCTAGGAATTCGATTCCAGAGGGTGAATCTGCCTGTAATGATACATGTAATAAAATCAGAAACAAACTTGTGAAAGCCTGTTAGTGGCTTAGTTTCTTTTATAAATTGGGTTCTACATTTTTAACATGCATTTTGTTGTCGTTAATAATAAAGTTGGACCTTAATAAGGAGGGTCCTTAAAGTCCTTACTAAGGTCCACCATTATTAAGGTTCTATTGACAAAGACTAATACTTTTATGCGTGTGTGTCAAAAACATGATAGTGTGTGTAATGTTTTTTTATGCATAATTAAAAATATATATCATTATTTTCTATATCTCAATATATATAACTCAAAGGTGGCTGACGTAGTGATCTATCAACGCACAGCTAACTGGACGGATCGGGCTGAAATTTGGCATGCAGATGTTATGACGTAGGCATTCGCTAAGAAAGGATATTGATTAATTCTACCTCCAAAGGGATAAAATAGGGGATGAAAGTTTGTCAATTCTGAAACAGTCGGGCTGAGACTTTGCGTGCATAAAGCTACTATGACGTAGGCATCCCCTAAGAAAGGATTTTGATAAATTCCACCCCTCGCGTTAATTTATCCCCATTAACGCGAGCGAAGCCACGGGCATTAGCTAGTAAACTATAAGTGTGCGATATTTCATACTCCACGGTCCGCGCAATTTTCGTGACAAGGGGTACAAAGTTTTTGCTTAATCTATTAATATAATGATATATATACATATATATACTAGCTACTCGTATATATATCATTATATAAGGGAGGGGACGCCCTAAGAAAAGATGGATGGATTGTGTGAAAGATGATATGAATAAAACAGTACGTTCAGATATGACGACAGATAGAGAGCAGTGGAAGAGAATAACATACTGCGCCGACCCCAAATAATGGGATAAAGGCAAGGCAATGATGATGATACTAGCTACTCGCCCCGGCTTCACACGGGTGTACATGTATTATATATATAAACCTTCCTCTAGAATCACTCTATCTATTAAAAAGAACGCTTCAAAATCCGTTGCATAGTTTTTAATGATTTAAGCATACATAGGGATGGACAGACAGCTACCTTATTTTATACTATGTAATGATAATGATGTACGCACCATATCATTGTAAGGATCACTTTCTGGGATGCTCTCCATTGTATGATCATCATCATCATCCATTGTAAACTGTTCGTTGTGACTGCATTTTGAATTAGCATTCTGAAATAAAAATATAATAATATCTCAGGACAATCAATTTATTTATATATTTTTTTATAATTAATTGCACAATTTATTCAATTAAAAAAAATTAACAAACTGTGCAACTAATAATAAACAAAAAAATGTATAATAATAATAATAGGAAAAATCAACATATTAAAAAAAATAAGTGGAGAATAAAGGATTCTTCATCTTTAATATCTCAGGACACTTCAGACAGCGCCATCTAGTCCCAAGCTAAGCAGAAATATAAATAATTTTTATTCTTTATGATGTGACAGCTTTCGGAATGAGTGTAGATAAAAAAAAATTTATGACTATTCAAAAGTGCTTAATTTAAGTTCATTTGAATATATTTTTTTTTGGCATGACCTCAGCCATTGTCTAGCAGTTTAGTAAACTGCCTTACTTCTGATGGTTGTAGATTCGATTTCTCATATGGTACATTTATATTTCTGGGTATGATTGTTTGTATCAGTCTGGGTGTTTTCTATGTATGTATTTACAAAAAATATATATATCTAAGTATTTATATCAGTTGTCTAATACCCATAGTAGTCTAGTAGTCATAACACAAGCTCTGCTTAGCTTGGGACTAGATGGCACTGTGTGAATTGTCCAGAAATATCAAATATTTCCATTCCATTTCTTTCCTCAAGTATTAATAGTATTTCTTACCATTTGGTTGCAAAGTTTACAATTCTGGTATGTAGAGTATGGTACTGCAGACTTGCGAAGCCGACGTAAATTGTCAGGGTAATAGTCACTCTGTTTAAAGTGGAGACTACAAACACGTGCTGAATTATAATATTTTCCTTTTATTTGCAGCTTCGATAACCAGAGATCCCTCAGTTTCTGTTCTGGGGGAAAACTGAAAAAATTATAATAAGTATATTAACTTTTTGAATGTCCGTCTGTCGCAACGACCGAAAGTAAATAGGTGGTACGCACGAGACAGCTTTTCAAATGCATTTCTATCTTATTTTAGTTTATTGCATCAGCGACCTACCAAAAAAATGTCGTCAAAATCGATCCAGCCAATTCAGAGATTAGTCAGAACAAACAGACGAACAGACAAAAATTGTAAAAAATGTTGTTTTGGTGTATGTTCCGTACTTATATTGATATGTATGTAGTAAAATCAAAGGTTGGGAAGAAGTCACAACTAAAATTAAAAGGTTGAAGTGTCCACTTGTACAGTGTAAGTGTACACAGTCCACTTCGGACAGGTTACATAGTAAGGGGAAATATGAGATGGACGAAAACTGTAACTGAGTGGATTCCCCATTATAAAATGAAACGAAAAAGAGGAAGACAGTACAAGACATGGTCTGATGACCTTAGAAAGATTGCCGGCCCATTGTGGCTCCGATTGGCAAAAGATAGGAACACATGGAAAACACTGGAGGAGGCCTTTGTGTCTAAAGGACATGTTGACTCAGAGATGTGCAGAATTGAAAGTAACACAAACATATATATAACTAATATTTCTTTTATATTTTAAACTTTTAATTAAAAATATTTGTTAGATTGTATAATTTTGTGTCGATTAATAAAGGCTTTGAATTTGAGTATGTAGTAAAAAATTGTGATTTCAATATTACAAACAAACACTCCAATTTTATTTATATGTATGTATAGAGTATGGATATGTAGATTCAGTTAAAATTTAAACAATACTTACTTGTGGAGAATGATAGACGATTGAGGGTGCCAAACAGTCTTGCAACCCTGAACTATGCAACTCATACTTGTCTCCAACAATATATGAATTTCATACTAATTTATTTATTTTCACAATCACAAATAAGAGTAACTAAAGAATACTTTAAAGTAGTTAAAAGTTAATACAATTTGGATCACAAGTTCAAATTTAGCATAACACACCAATCACTCAATAAATGAGAATTAATTGTACTTTTAAAAGTTGTTTAGAACATTTCTAATCTATTTACGAAGTTATAATTATGTTGAATTCAAAATTAATATCAAACATAAAACATAACCTACAAAAAATTCAATTGAAAGAAAATATTAGTCTATGTCTATGTCAACAACCACAGACTATTAAGACAAAGGTTGCTTTGTGACATAGAGTACTTCCATAACAGAAATAATTTTTGGTTTGATATAGTGCGAGGTGATAAACAAAATTTTTAATGAGCTTTTCATTTCATTTTCACAAACTCGTCTACTGTAAAAAAATATTTATTTAATTATGTTATATTGATGACATTAAAACTTGGTAGATTGATTTTCAAAATCTATTTATAATCGCTCATCTTTTTAATTTTATTTCCACGAACATTATTTTGCTTGCTTTTATAATGATTTTTTTTAACTTTAAGTCACATTTGAATTTAACACACAAAATTGGACTCGGAAATGGCAATATGTGTTATAATGTTTTAAAAAAACAGTGAACAATAGTCTATGGATGACCAAATTGTCAAAGTCAATCAAGAAAATGTCGGACAAGTTAGTATTTTTCTTGCATTTTTCAATATTTTCTATAAATTCCACCATACCTTTATTGTTACACTTTCCTTCAGACACTTTTATTATTTATAAAATTATGCTGTATGCATAAAATTATTTCTTGAAAGTTAATCTTTAGAAAGTATTTCACAACATCCATGTGCATCGTTGTAATCGATGATAAAAATATTATTTCTTATTTATTTTCAGTGAAGATTTATTAGGTGATGATCTCGGCGATCACAGCCTTGCAGATTATAACCTTGGAAATGAAGAGGAAGAACAGCTTTTGGCCGATGACTACGAAAGTGGGCCTTCACAAAATGTGCCAACGTCTATTGGGCCAGGGTACAGCAATGGCGTTGATATGGTTAATACAGAATATCCTGGTAATGGCATCGAATATGGCCAGGTAAGTCTTATTTATGTTTTTATAGAAATTACTCATAACATCATGACCTAGTAAAGTTGTTTAGTACCATGAATACACCAAAAATTTTCTAGAGGTCAAATCTGGCTGACAGAGAAAAACTATCAACTTATATTTTGGACTGACTCTTCAGTTACTGAAACACTAATATAAAAGTAAGTGGTTCACTCTCCTCTCCTTATGGTCATAATGGATAAACAATATAGCCAGCGATTTATGTGTTAAAAGTTCATTTCCCTTTAACACTGACAATTGACAATGCCTATCCTATCAGTATACAATATATGTATGTTTTACAATATTAAAATTACTAAATATAAAACCATTCACCTCTACTGCTTAATACTAATCCTTGTAGAAGTGCCAGTATTTTATTTTTTCTCTTTCTTTTGGCAATATTAATATGTAGTTTGTACACCTTTTTATGGAAATTGTACATTAAGGAGTATGAAATTTCATATACTTACTAGCTGCCCCAGAAAACATTGTTTTGCCATATAAATTAAAACTAGCTTATGCTCGCGGCTTCGCTGATGTTAATTTATCCCTTTAGGGATGGAATTTATCAAAATCCTTTCTTAGGGGATGGCTAGGTCATAGTAGCTTTATGCAAGCAAAGTTGAGACTTTGCTTGCATAAAGCTACTTGCAGAAAGTTTCATATAAACTTTCATCCCCTATTTTATTCCCTTGGGGATAGAATTAATCAAAATCCTTTCTTAGCACATGCCTACGTCATAACATCTACCTGCATGCCAAATTTCAGCCCGATCTGTACAGTGGTTTAAGCTGTGCGTTGATAGATCGTTATGTTAGTCAACTTTGAGTTATATATATTTAGATTGCTATTAAAACAGTGGTTGGTTATAGACAACCCTTGTCACTTAGTAGCCGATTCTCAGACTTACTGAATATGCATAAAAATCGGTTTAGCCATTTCGGAGGAGTATGGTAACTAACATTGTGACACGAGAATTTTATATATACTTATAGTTTATATAGAGAATGATGACAGATACTAATATTAGTTTAAAATTATGCACAAAAAATACATTAAATCAGTAAAAAACATAACACACTAACCATGTATTTGACACACATGCATAGAAGTCTAATCTTTGACAATGGAACCTTAATAATGTGCAAACCTATAATTTTAATTAAATATGTTGAATTTTGACCATAAGGCCACCACTAATAATTAAAAAAAATTAATTATTTTAATTATGTTGAATCTTGACCATAAGGCCACCACTAATAATTATAAAACAAATTAAATTGTTGATACTTCTGCAGAATTTACAATATCTGTCACATTTTTCAGCCACTGTCTTTCCAACCAGCAATGGAGGCTGAGTGTGTGGTCCCCAACATAACAGTGGAGGTTTCAAACGCTCCACTACCGGAACATTCAACATATGCACCATACGAGCCACCAGCATACAGACCTGAACATGCTGTTGTGCCACCACCCATTGTAAGTATATACATTTTTAATCTTTTGTACAGGGTAGTCACTTTATTATTTATTACTAGCTGTACTCGCTACTTTGTCTGCATGGAAATTAACTTTATTTTTCTAAAATAAAAGTAGCCAAAGTTACTCCTTATTACATTACCTACCTGCTAAAAAAAGTCCCATCAAAATCGGACCAGAAGCTAGAAGAAACAGACAGATAGACAAAAATTGTAAAAACTGTTATTTTAGTGTCTGTACCATATTTATATTCATATGGATGTAGAAAAAGTGTTTATTTAAAAAAAAAATTGTATATATTGTCTGTGTGTAATAAACAGACAATACATACAAATTTTATTTATATGTACAGATTTTTATACTTTTAACTTTCACATAATATTTTTCAAACATTATAGTTACAATAAGGATGTGCAGTGGCATTTCCTCTTCTGCTTAACAAAACCATACAGATGGATTATGTATATATATATTTTCTCCTTTGTTACAGCCAGCATCAGTGCCTGTGGAGTCATCACAAATAGTACCCTCAGAGATGACACCAGCTGTGCCCAGTGAGTTTAATAATAATAGACTTAATTACTGTTAACTTAAGTTTACAATCGTTCCAAATATACATATACTAGTGACTTGTCCCAGCTTCAGATGGGTACTTGACAAATCTTTGAATTTCTGGGCTTGTTCTATAGTATAACATGCATGTGTTATACATTAGAAACCTTCCTCTTGATCACTCTATCTATTGCTGAAAACTGCATTAAAATTAGAGATGGATTGGTTATCCGGTTACTATTCGGTATCCTGCCTATCCGGCGGCCATGATACTATCCGCCCGACAGCCGAATACCGGGATGACTACTGTTTATAATCTACCCTGTACAGACTATTGTATTAGAGTCCATTAGTTTCTGTTCCCGCGCGTTCCCCCCTTACCTATGACAAAACTCACCGTACGGCGCCATAACGCGCGCGCTTGATTCCTATATTAAAATAAATTAAAACTGAGTGTGAAACTGTGAAAGCTAGCGAAAATATCATCGAGACGCTGATCTGTGTTAAGAAGCCCAAGAAATCCACAGGAGCATACAAGTATGAGACAGAAGCTTCCACATCTATTATTTTCCCTAACAACTATACGCCGGATAGGCATCCGGCGGAATTAAAAAAAAATCTGAAATTATTTGCTTTATTTAGTTAGTCTTAGTATCACTTAAGAAATATAATTAGTTTATGTTTTAAATTTTTAATCACACAATAGTAAATGACTGTAATAGAAAGAAAATTAATTAATTAGTACTCATACTGCACTAAGGGTAAATTATGGTGAATAAATACTAATTTCTCTGCATTAAGAGGTAGCAAGCAATTTCGCTTCTCTTCATAAATAAGGCCAGCTTCAGAAAAAAGTCTTTCGTTGTACACACTGCTGCAAGGTGCTGAAAGATAGATTTTGGCAAAATTCGTTAAATTTGGGTATTGTTTGGAATTAGTTGCCCACCAAGAATATGGGTCACGATTGCGATCAATTCGCACTGACTTAAGATAAAAATCCAGCTCACAGGCTATCGCGTTTCTTCTTTCATGTTGAACCTGATCTATATTGTTTTCATTTGCTACCTCATCAAAGCAGTCCCAAAACGTGTCATGAGGTTTGCGAGATACAGCTGACTCTATCTCCTCACCTCTGCTCTTTTTAGCCGGTGTTGAAGATGAACTGCTACTTGAGGACTCTTCACAAGACATTTTCAAATATTCCAATAAGATCTCCTGACGTGCTCTTGCAGCATCAGTCACCCCTAAGTAGTTTGTTTTGAACCTCGGGTCTAGGTAAGTCGCAATCAAGTACTTTGAGTCTTGATTTATGGAGTTAAAACGAGTTTTTAATTCAGCTTTCAAAGCAGCTCGCATATGTGATAAATCAGGAGTTCTTTGCTCAGTTTCAGCTTTATCTAAGTATTTTTTTAAAGCAGTAACGTGTGGTATAACTTCCGACACGCAGGATAGTCCAGAACTTATTATTTTAGTAATTTCTTCGAAGGGTTTTAATAAATTTATACACTGCTCCATTAAACTCCATTGTTGAGGTGTCAAATTTATGAGTGTATCCTGATCAGCCACATACAATGATATGGCCCGCTTTTGTTCTGACAAACGTTCAATCATGTAAAATGTGGAATTCCACCTAGTGTTAATATCTTGCACTAACTGATGCTGGGGTAAACTTAGCTCTTTTTGAATCGTCAGCAGTTTCTCTTGACCTAAACCTGAGTGATTGAAGTGCGTCACAAGTCGCCTTCCAGCAGCAATCATTGCTGTCACTTCAGTCTGGACTTTGAGCGACTCGTTTATAGCTGTTTGAAGCGTATGAAGAAAACATCTAGCAGAATCGTACTTAGCCAAACGAACATTCTTCACCACATTAGCACCACTATCATGAATGAATAAATGTATTTTAGTGTGCTCAATATCCCAACGATTTGCGACAATGTTAAGTTCCATAGCTATATTCTCTTCTGTGTGTGAACCTGAGAAAGGCTTCATTGCCAGAACTCCGTGTTCTACTTTAAATTCTGACGATATCCAATGAGCTGTGAAGCTCAGACAGCTAGCATTATTGTGTAGTGTCCATATGTCAGATGTCACGGAAATAGCGAAGGCACTCGAAATGTTACGTTTGATTTTCTCGTAAATTCTGTCATATATATCGGGAATGATTTTTTGGGTAATATAAGTCCAGCTTGGCAATTTATAGTTTGGTAAAGCTTGTTGTAAGAGTCTATTAAATCCGATTCTTTCCACTATGGACGATGACTCGTTGTCGAGTGCAATCATTTCCGCTACTAAATAATGGTACTTTCTGGCTTTAGTATCGTTTATATCCCAAAGCATTTTCCTTTCGTAAGATTCTCTCATAGCCATTTGCTGTTTTGCTATTGAAGACGAACTTGTCCCCGCAATGGCTAAAGAAATTGTAGCAGGCTCGATATCGGCCTTGTCTTTATTCACTATATGAAATTCATCTGGATGTTTTGATTTTAAATGATTTTTCATCGCAGAAGTACCTGAAAAAATTGTAAATACTTAATTAGGTATCATTACATAGTATAAAACAAAGTCGCTGTCTGTCCGGGACGGACTAGCGCCAGCCCGATCCGTCCAGTGGTTTGGGCTGTGTGTTGATAGATCACTATGTCAGTCACCTTTGAGTTATATATATTTAGATATAATCCTTCTTGAATCACTCTATCTATTTAAAAAAACCGTTTCAAAATCCGTTGCGTAGTTTTAAAGATTTAAGCATACATAGGGACGGACAGACAGCGACAGCGACTTTGTTTTATACTATGTAATGATTAGAATAGAATAGAATAGAAAATCATTTATTCAATTAAACTTAATTTAAGCACTTATGAATAGTCAACAAATTTTTTTTAATCTACCGCTTATTCGGAAAGCTGTCTCATCACAAGAAGAATAAGCAAGAAACTTGTGTGTTGCTCTTTTAAACAATCCTTGTAAGTTTACATTTACAAGTCGAAACGTGTGAATACAAACTACCAACCAGCACTAATTTATTTAGGCTCAAATATAAAAACAATAAGATAAGATACATACCTGCTTTTTTCCCTTCTCCGCCACGAGAAATGTTAACATTGCATAATGAACAAACAGCTAACTTTTTATTTTCACTGTTTATATCAAAGTAAACCCATAAAGGCGACTTTTTCTTCATCGATGCCATTTCTCGTTGCTAAATCTTTTATGCTAAGTTTACATTCAGCCGCTTCCCCTGTCACTCGCGCTGCCGGAAATATTGCCGGGCGACAACTGAGCGAGAGGGCTGAATGTAAAAACACGCTGCCACTCGCGCTGCCAGTCCTTTGACTCGCGCACGAAAAACCGACAATCGAGGAAGAACAGAAAAAATATTTTTAGATCTGATCCTAAAACACCTTTAAAAATTTATAGTCTAAATACCGTGACTTATGGTACAGCTTCCGCTCCTTATTTAGCCACCAAGTGTTTAGTCAGTCTGGCGACTTCTATCCTTAACAAAAGAGTAAAAAACTCGATCGAACGGGACTTCTACGTTGATGACTATCTTAGTGGTGCTAATTCAATTTCAGAAGTAGTGGAGTTAGGTAGGAAAGTTAAGTCTATTTTAGGTTCAGCAAATCTACATCTTCGCAAATGGCAATCAAATAATCACTCTTGCAAGAACTGACCCAGTTCGTTGCAAGTAATTTTTTGGAGTGAACGTTGTGATGGCGTTACGAAAGTTCTGAATTAATGGTCCGGGCAGCGCGAGTGGCAGCGCCAATGGCATGGGAAGTGTTTCCACTCGTGTTTACACTCTCGCGCTGCTCACTTCCGTGCTCACTTCCCTGCCAAAGGACTGGCAGCGTGTGTTTACATTCAGCCCTCTCGCTCACTTGTCGCCCGGCGTTTTAAGCGGAAGGTAAGGAAGAGTCGCCCGGTAAATAAATATGAGGGCTGACTGTAAACGGCACTCATTCGCGTCGACGCTGATGCGGTAATATTTCCGGCAGCGCGAATGGCAAGGGAAGCGGCTGAATGTAAACGTAACATAAACGTAGCATTAGAATTATGTATATACTTTAAATAGCAATAGCACAAATACAAATTATAAACTCAAACAATCACACACGTCTCTGCGCTGCGATCAACACAATAAGACTATAAATGAAACTATTGCTAACTTCGCTGATCAACGAAAAGACCCAGATCGAACCAAATCTGTGTGTGTGTGCACCGAACAGCGTTCCGCCGGTACGCCCCGCCGGATATCCGGCCACATGGTTGGCTGAATATCCGGTATCCGGTATTCGGCCAAACTCCGTTTCATCTATAATTGAAATCCCTTGCGTAATTTAAAAGATGACGGTAGCGGAGACTTTGTTTTGTACAGCTAATACTATTATACTTTGTACGGAAGGAAAATTTTAATTAATCTATACATATAAATAAAATTGGACTGTCTGTTTGTAATATTGAAATAACTGTTTTTTACTACTTGCATACGAAAATTTTTGCAATTTTTGTCTGTCTCTTTGTGGCCGGCTAATCTCTGAAATGGCCGGACCGATTTTGGCGGGACTTTTTTGGCAGGTAGCTGATGTCATAAGGAGTAACTTAAGCCAGTTTTATTTTAGAAAAATACAAATACAGCTAGTGTAATACAAATTTATTGAATATTTCCTTGTGTATAATAACAGTTTGTGTCGTGATGTGACATATTTTTCTATAAATCCTATGCAAGCTATTCTATAAATTCCAGTCCTTTGCTCTTGGTACAGGTCATTGGGCTCGCTAAAATATGTCGAGCGCTGTGATGGCTGGCTCATCCGTCATACTCGTGAACGAGTACTGCTTGTAGGGACTGGTCGGCTCTTTTACTACGACTGATTTAATCTTATTGTACATTTATATTTGACCCAAAAAATTAGTGCTGGTTGGTAGTTTGCATTCACACGTTTGGACTTGTAAATGTAAACTTACAAGGATTATTTAAAAGAGCAACACACAAGTTTCTTGCTCGTTCTTCTTGTGATGAGACAGCTTTCCGAACGACTGGTAGATAAAAAACTAATTGTTATGACTATTCAAAAGTGCTTCAATTAAGTTTATTTGATTAAATGATTCTATTCTATTTTTGAGTCCATTTTTTTCTGCTGCCTTCCCAATATTGTCTTCCCACCTTTAAATTTGTCTGCCTCTGTTTAAGTAACCCTTTGGCCACCATTCTGTACCGTTTTGTAATTTTATATTAACAGCTTTTCACTAACTACATAGATGTGCACTGGTATATCTTATATATAAAATTCTCGTGTCACAGTTTTTGTTCCCATACTCCTCTGAAACGGCTTGACCGATTCTCATGAAATTTTGTGAGCGTATTGAGTAGGTCTGAGAATCGGCCAACATCTATTTTTCAACCCCCTAAATGTTAGGGGTAGTCCACCCCTAAATATTTTATTTTATTTTAAAGCAAAACAACGTTTGCCGGGACAGCTAGTATACTATACTAGCTGTCCCGGCCACGTGTTGTTATGGCTAAGGATCTTGAATAAAATAATATTTGTGACTACAAATTGAGATGTAAGCTATCCTATCTTTCAAGTTGGATCATATTGCACACAATGTGCTAATCACATTTGCAATCGGTTTATTAGCTTAGGAGTGTCTCCCTACTGTGTCTCCCTACTGTGTCTCCCTAATCACGTCGTTGGCAAAATCACAGACCTCATTTGGTTGATACCATTTAAATAAAAAAAAAATGTAAAAATTTATTTACTTACAAAAAATAATGATAATAATAAAACTTTTCATTGTGCATAAAAAAGAAATAATGACAAAAAAGAAAAACATACGAACAAAAGGCAGCCTTATCGCTCAAAGCAATCTAATCTAATCAAAAATATTAATTTATATAACACATGTGACAAACGAGCATGCGGCACACCTGATGGTAAATGATTACCGCCGCCCATAAGCACCCGCAACACCAGGGGAATTGCAAGTACGTTATCGGCCTTTTAAAACGGATTAAGCTCTTTCGTTGAAGGTTTCAATATCGTATCGGTTCGGAAATACCATTGCTGGAAGGTGATTCCACAATGTGGTTGTGGGTGGCAAATAATAAGAAAAGACTTTTTTTTTTATTGGGTTAATTGGGCTATTGTCAGGTGAATGGATCTGTAGCACTGCGACCTACATAGATCTATTATGCTCGCCCTTTTCAAAGTACACTACCTAGACCCGTCAGGGACAAGAATTGAAGGATATTCTTAGGAGCGATGGTTTTTATCTCCTCGGGATAGAGTGTAAACTTTCCAAAGGAGATATTTCGTTTATGCATGAGTGAGCTACAACCGCATAGGATGTGTAGTGGCGTTTCCTCTTCAGTTTGACAGAATCTGCAGAGTAGAAGAAAAGACTAAATATTAACTTTAATTTGCAGTGGTGGAAATGAGCGGCCCTCGTGAGCGGTTCGTATCAGAGCGGCCTCCGAACATGTCACGGCAACCGCGAGTCAGAGACATACCGGACAGTTTAGGTAAGCCTGGGTTTTTTATATTATGTACGGGAAAGGTAGAGAGAAATCCAGGTAGATTAAGTATTCATATAACTGCTTTGGTAGTACTTGGAAGTAATCTATACATATAAATAAAATTGGTGTGTCTGTTTGTAATATTGAAATAACCGTTTTATACTACATGTATATGAATATAAATACGGTACATACACCAAAATAACATTTTTGACAATTTTTATCTGTCTGTCTGTTTGTTCCGGCTAATCTCTGAAATGGCTGGACCGATTTTGACGGGACTCTTATTGGCAGGTAGCTGATGTAATAAGGAGTAACTTAGGCTACTTTTATTTTAGAAAAATAAAGTTAAATTTCACGCGGACGAAGTCGCGGGAACAGCTAGTAATCAAATAAAAACAGCCAAAAAAAAGAACAAAAAAGAAGGAAATGTAAAACATAAACTTTAAAAATTCGTCCTCAAGTATGACATTACGTATTTAGTTAAGTTTAGTTTAATATCTTTAATTTATTTATCATTCTGCACTTCTTTCTATATCTTACTAGCTGTCCCGGCAAACGTTGTTTTGCCTTAAAATAAAAATAAAATATTTAGGGATGGACTACCCCTAACATTTAGGGGGATGAAAAATAGATGTTGTCCGATTCTCAGACCCGATACTCCGATACTCAATACGCTCACAAAATGTTTCGGAGTAGTATGGGAACGAAAACTGTGACACGAGAATTTTATATATAAGAAGATTAATTATATAAATGCGAAAATTTGTGAATATGGATGGATGTTTGTCCCTCTTTCACGCAAAAAACTACTGAAGAGATTTTAATGAAACCTTACTTATATCATCAGAATAACATATAGGCTATAAATTTCACGCGAGTGAAACCGTAAGCACAGCTAGTAAACTATAAGCGTGTGAAATTTCATACTACTGCATCGCACTATTTTCGTAAAAAGGTTACAAAGTTTTGGCTTTACATATTAATATGTTTTGTTTGTCCACAGACAAAGTGATAGTTCCACGCATGGGCGCGGGTCGCGGCTGGCGTCCCCCACACGTCTACCGGCGGAGGAATAACCGGGTATGTACTATATTCACGCCATATCCCTTAACTGGTAGGCAGAGAAACTACTGTTCTATTCTCTATCATCATATTTTATAGTATAGAATAGAATAGAAAATCATTTATTCAAAAATTCAAAAATCTTACATTGAAACACTTTTGAGTAGTCATCACATTTTTTTTCAATTGCTCGTTCGGAAAGCTGTCTCATCACAAGAAGAACAAGCAAGACTCTTGCGTGTTGCTCTTTTAAATAATTTTATTGTTACTTTTAGAAGTTGAAGCGTGTGGATACACACTACCAACATTAATTCATATAAATACTCAAATAGAGAAAATATTCTACCAACTACCAACCGGTTGAGTAACTAAATAAGAGTAAATCAGTCGTAGCGATTAGAGCAGACCAGTTCCAAGCAGCACTCGTTCACGAGTATGACGGATGAGCCAGCCATCTCTGCGCTCGACCATATTTTAGAGAGCCCAATGACTCGACCCACGTCGCGACATACTGGTTAGTTACAATAATATGGTAACCTGTAATCGTTGCCTATATACATGAACAGCACTTCTGACATTACTTTATTATGTGACACCCATGATACCACTTATTCATTGCTATTCCTGGGGACTAAGGTGTGATGCCCCTTCTCCAGTAATTTCATTGCTTAATCTGCACCCTACAACTGAAGTAGGTGAGACTGAGTTACCAACGCAGATGGTTTTTTACAGTCTACCTCTAGTTATACAAGACAGATTTTATGACAGTGTTATGTTTTTGTCTTTACTCAGGGAAATTTCAGTCATCGAGCACCGTTTCCTCCACCACAAATACGATCAAGTCCACCACAAATCCGACAAAATCCACCACAAGTTCGACCAAATCCTCCACAGATTCGGTCAGACTTAAGGCCGGATGTTCCGCCCGAAATTCGGCCAGATATCCAACCGGAAATTCACCCAGATGTGCGTCCTGAAATTCGGCCAGATATTCGGCCTGAAATTAGACCAGATATACGACCAGACCTTCGGCCTGAAATTCGTCCCGATATTCGGCCAGATATGCGTCCCGAAATTCGGCCAGACCACCGACCTGAAATGCGACCAGATTTTGGTCCTGAAATTCGACCCGATTTTCGGCCGGATCGTCATTCTGACATACGGCCAGATCTTCGACCACAAGCACGTCTAATGCATTTAGACCCCCATATGGAACTTGATCGTGGTCCTTTCCCAATGGGACCCGAAATATCTCCGGAAAGGCCGATGTTACAAGAAGTACCATTCAGACCCCTAGAGGGTCGACCCTTTGTTCCTAATTTCCAAAGGTTCCCCAATCAATTCCGGTCAAATGTGGAAGATTCACATCTCTTTGGACCAAATGTAAGGCCAAATTTCGAACCTCGACCCATGTACCCTTATCCTCGTCAGGTTCATAGGCCTTTTGGGGCTCCAGTGAGGGAGCTAGCGCCTTATCCTATACCCCAAGTGACGATCCGACAACCTCTACCAGGGTTACCCCTACCGAAAATGGATAAATTTGATGGGAAAATGATGGGGAGAGAGCAAGAAGTGAGGATGTTACCGCTTCAACTGCCTCCGAATTTGCCGCCCGGTGGTTTGGCGGGGAAGAAAGTACTCATCAATCCACACTTCAAGGGGAATATTCAGCCGCCAGTTGAAGGTAAAATGTTCAAGCATATTTTATGTAATTACCAAACAAATTTACCATCGATGTGATGGTAAGAGATAACCGTCTATACATAATCAGCACCTTATTACTCTATGTTTCATGGACATAAGGTTGTTCTGGCTAAGATGTCGTGCCTTTTAATTCTTTAAAATAAATACAGGATTAAAAGTCATGACACCTTAAATTTCGGAGACATGTCAAATTTCGGCAAAATATTTACAAATTTTCTTAAATTTCTTTCGTCGTCATCACTTTCATCGTCCTCATATAACTTTTAAACTCATCCATGCTTGGCTAAGGCCCGCGTGTTTGAACAATTACCCCCTGAAAAGGGAGATATGTAAAATATATATAAATAATAAATTCAAATTCAAAATATCTTTATTCATGTAGGTCTATTACAGACTCTTATGATATGGCAAATGTACCGTCAGTTCGGTATGATTTTGAGATGAGAAGAACTGACAAGAAACTCAGCTCGTATTCTTTTCAAATAAATGTTGTACATGTTTACAATAATACAGATTCATTTTTAAATTCAAATTTGGGAGAATAGACTGACCACCATCATATGATATTGTAAAATACATTATATTTAATATTGTATACACCTATAAGTACTGTATTCTGCGAATAAATGATTTGATTTAAAGATAAAAGAAAACAGTCTAATTAGTGTTCGTAACCACTGAACAACTGCTTGTTCACACTGAATCAAGGTGTACTAAATATCGGTTCAATGAATGAAACAATATATGTACAGGTGGTTGATATATTCTTTTCTAGAACTGAATGATACAGAACCAGATGGAATTAAATTGCTGTTACATTTTCTTTTTTTTTTTCGGACTACTCTAATGCTGTTGGCCGTAGCTGGCCTTTACAGCTTCACCGGACGTTATGGGGCGAGTGCAGATGGCACTCCAAACCAAGGAAGGACTTATGGAGCGGCTGAAGGCCAACTCCTGCCTGACGGATACGACTTTAGTCTGAGGGCACCACTAGGGGTTCGAACCTCGGCTCAGGCCGTCGTAATTTCGATCCCCGTTTGAATTGGACGGGGGATCGATCGGAGGGGATTGCTGTTACAAACATTCCGTTTGACTATATAAATAGCACAAAAAATCTTGATGGCGCGTTTTACGTTACATAGTAACGCCATCTAGCGGCATAAGTGGAAAGTGTCCAAGACACTTATTTACTAAATTATACACGTACAATAATAATATATTATAATTATAATTTCTGAATTGAGCTACCGTATCTGTGATTTTGATTGTGATATTGTGAATTGTGTAGGGCTATCCCTGCCTACGTATATACCGACACGGATACACAAGTCGCCGCCGCTCAGCCCTACGTTGGAGAGCAAATTCGGTAAACTGTGTGATATATATATAAACATACATATATACCACATATATAAATCTTATGCCACCGGGTTTTAGGTCAGTAGAACTAAACGTTTAATAACTAATCGTAATAATCTATGGAAATAAATAGAAATTAAGTGTTTGTTTGTAATTTTCAATTAGCATCTTTTCTCTAAATGCATATGAAGATATATTATTAGGAATATAGTGTTTTAAATTTGACACGGTCATTATTTATATGTATAATTAGTAACAATCACGGGATGTTACCACGTTTTATATTTATTTGCTGAGTTTCCGATATTTCAACGACCATGATCACGGGTAAACTGATTTTGACTAATTATACGTATATATTATTAGGAAGTTTCAGAAATTAAGCGTCGATATTTTTATTTAGTTTTATTTCTCACTCCACATTAATACTTTTGTATTCCACGTCTGGTCGTATCGGCTGCCTCCAACAAAAAGAAGATCGCTCCCTTTTTTCGGACTACTCTAATGCTGTTGGCCGCAGATGGCCTTTACAGCTTCACCGGACGATAGGGGGCGAGTGCAGATGGCACTCCAAACCAAAGGAAGGACTTATGGAGCGGCTAAAGACCAACTCTCGCCTGACGGATACGACTTTAGTCTGAGGGCACCGTTAGGATTTCGAACCTCGGCTCAGGTCGTCGTAATTTCGATCCCTGTTCGAATTGGATGGGGATCGATCGGAAGTGCATTCAGTGAAAGTTTATTTGAAATTACAATGAGACACTTCAATTTTTGTTAATTGTAGAGATACAAATTTATTATTATATACGTCAATGGATATGTTGACCATCTCTCGTTTATAAAAAAATTATTTGAATGTTTTGAATTTGAAACCGGTGGCATTTGAATAATTTGTTAAAATCACGCATGACTGTTTCTTAGCACAACTGTGTTTTTTTATTATTTCAGATATTGCATTTTGTATTTAGTGGCGCTTACCAATTACCTGCACATTACATTATTTCTTGATATTATAGATATTAATATGAATGTTATAATAGTTACTGCATGGTGTGTGTGAAAGACAGACAAACAGCTCTTAAAAAAATACTGAAAATTTATCAAAGTTTTTTTTTATTTACATATTTTGTATATGATCACCAACAAGTAATAATTTAATAGAATAAATTTACACTCAAACACAAAACTAATGTTAACTATAAGAATTTTCTAGAATTAACCTATTTATTTATTCTCATTTTATTTAATTTGTTTTTGTTGTTGACTTACTTTTACTACATGTATTTATTTATTTAAAATATTTACACGCCTGTTTCTTGCTCATTCTTCTTGAGATGAGTCTGCGTTCTGAGTTGAATTAATTTATTAATTCATATAATTCATTTTAATAAAGATTATTTCTATTTCTAATATCAACGAGCTCGAAGTTTACTATGACTATATAATGTATAGTATTATATGTAGTTTACTAATCTTATATATAAAATTCTCGTGTCACAGTTTTCGTTCCCATACTCCTCCGAAACGGCTTGACCGATTCTCATGAAATTTTGTGAGCGTATTGAGTAGGTCTGAGAATCGGCCAACATCCATTTTTATCATCCCCCTAAATGTTAGGGGTAGTTCGGCCCTAAACTTTTTTTTTAAGGCAAAACAACATTTGCTGGGTCAGCTAGTAAGATATATAATTTTAAGTATAGGAGCCAACAGAATATCAGCGTTGCAGATTTATCTCCAACTTTATACTGAGTTGAGTGAATATGCAATTCATATTTGCACATAATGCCAACTCCATTTATTTTATAGACAAATATTACAGAAAAATAGATATACAAATATCTATTTTTCTGTACCTCATATACGCTGTTTGTAATTGGTGAATGAAGATTTCATCTGTCTATCTATCTAATTTACACATCACAGCGTTTGAAATGGGAGTCTGAATTCCAAAGGCACAGATCTCTAATCTAGTTTAGAGTCCAGTCTCCTATAATTTTTTGTTGTTGTTATTATATATTTTATGTTTAAATTTGTGGACACAATAAATAAATATATATTCATTCACATAAATGTAAATTATTCCATAATGTCACAATTTAGACAGTTATTAATGACAGATTTGAGAAAGTGTTACGCAGTTCGAAAGATGCTGGTCCATCTTTCGAACTGCGAAATATTTTCTCAAATCGGTGCAGAATCACTGCGATTCTAGTATTTGAATTCCAAAAACAAATAAAAAAATCCTCAAACACAAAATCACGGCGGGGGTTTATTATGAGGAATTTAAATTCCAGAATCTGTCTTTCTCTCTTTCTTTTAATGTTAGTATAGATAGTTTAATAGAAATGCAGTGCAATACAGTTCAATATTTACATTTGCAGGTCCGATAAAGGATCTAGATCAAGCAGCGGAGAGGTTCATAGCTGAACAGAGAGATGCCCTAGCACGGGCCGCCGCACGGAAGACCGCGCCCAGCCATCCGCCCAGGCGGGACCCGCAGAGGTAAAGTTCTTTATGGTTTCCACACACAGTTTACTGTTCTTATCTTTTATAGCTGACCAGCGCAACTTCGTCTGCGTTTCATTTCCTCACCTGTTGCAATATTTTTCATTGCAGCTCCGCTCCTATTGGTCGTAGCGTAATGTTATATAGCTTAAAGCCTTCCTCGAGAAATGAACTATCCAACACAAAAATAATTTTTCAATTCGAACCTAGTTCTCGAGATTAGCGCGTTCAAACAAACATACAAACAAACAAACTTCAGCTTTATAATGTTAGTATAGATTATAATTAATTGTATTGAATTATTTAAGATAAGTACAGGGCTTTACTTCGGATGGTCACAAGTTTTTAAAAAATGTTTTAAAGTATTTATATGTTGTATCATATCCATCTTTGCTTAGCTTGGGAATAGATGGCACTGTGTGAATTGTTAATTATTATTGTTATTATATTATTAATCCAGCAGTTTGTTCGTATTATATATATAAATCTTTTGCGTTCTCTAAAAGTCCGTTGGGTAATTTTAAAGATTTAAGCATACATAGTGACGGACAGACAGCGACAGCGACTTTGTTTTATACTATGTAATGATACCAAGTACTGTATTACCTGCAATCATCTTGATATAAATTATTACCTGCATAGACTAAGGGAAAAGTAATTTTCCTGGATATGTCAGTGGCATGCACTTTGCTTTGTAAGCTGTGCTTCAGTTGTAAGGTGAAATAAGGTAGTGAAATTACAGGATAGGTACCATGATATCGTAGTCCTAAAAGATGGCAACGCATAAGTATCACTTAATAACATTTCAGACTTTATGGTGATGGAAACTCCAATAACAAAACCAATATAATCCAGCAGTTTGTTCGTCCCACATGACAATTTTTGCGTTCTCTACAACTCCGCCAGTTGATCCCGTCTCGGATGAATATGATGGTTATTTTATTTGCAGATATATAGAGAACACAACCATTGAGATCGAGAACGATCTGGCGGTGTCGGGCAGTGGTGCTGGTGATGGTGGTAGACCTGGCCCTCTAGGAGGCAGACGGAGCAGTGATGATGAGTTACTGCTGCGGCAGGAGGCCTTCATCAGCGCCAACCGCGCCGGCTTGCGCAGGAGGTGATTATGCTTCAATACATGTTTTGTAGAAAAAAAATTATTTTAAAATTCATAGCGCTGACAATATTATCTGATTGCACTAAGAATGAGTGCGTAGCGGTTTCTGTGTTGATTATTGCATGCCTTTTATTTGTTATTGTGTAATTATTTATATAAATAATAGTAAAAATAGTAATACTTTATTTGCTAAATGTAGGTAAACAATAAGATGTTAACAATATGTTGTCGAGATCAGTATATCTTCATAAGAGATGTGTAAAATTTCAATTAGTAGATACAATTTATGTTTAATACTTACATACTTCTTGTGTTGAATTTGTGTTCCGAATGAGTGGTAGAATAAAAATGTGACTATTCAAAAGTGCTTGTATTGATTTGTAATGTTTCCCCCACAGGATGCGGTCTCCGTCCCCGTCCCCCCCGCCGCCGCCGCCGCCCCCGCCGCCGCCCCCGCCGCCCGGCCGCCGCTCCCCCGACCGGCGCCGCCACACGCCGCCCCGGGACGAGGTCAGTGCGCGGCCGTACGCCACCAGTGTGGGGCACCCTTTATAATTACATAGTCTCGTCGTTACATAGACTACGGTGCGGTTTCAGAGGAGCTTCCTCCCGCGTACACTTAGATTGTTGAATTAACTACCTGCCGAGGTGTTCTTGAGAGACTACAGCATGGGGTTTTTCAAGAAGAGTATATTAAGGTTTCTTAAAGGTCGGCAACGCGCACGTGACCCTCCTGCTGTTTCAGGCGACCATAGGCTACGGTAACCGTTTACCATCAGATGGGCCGTATTGCTTGCTACATAGAGTAAAAGAAATCGTATAAACAACACAGATATAATTCACACGACGCCATCTAGTCACAAAAGCAGTGCTTGTGTTGTGGGTACTTAACTGGTACTAGCTAAATCAATTTTTTGTAAATACATAATTATATACATACACAGAAAACACCCAGATAACCCAGAAATATGACCAATACCAACAATCATACTCATCAATAAAAATGTTTGTATAATATCAAAAAGTCAAAGCAATGACCATAAAAGAATATATTTCTGTCTACCTCATTTAGAATAATACTCGTTAAAGTCTTTTATTATTAACCGTTTTTTATTGTTAGGTTTGGACTATTGTCAGGAGCATGAGATCTGTAGCACTGTGACCTACATAGATCTATTATGCTTGCCCTTCTTAAGAACTAATAAAACATTTTATTATGCATAAAAAAAGAAGAAATAATTACAAAAAAGAAAAAAATACGAACAAAAGACGGCCTTATCGCTCTAAGCAATCTAATGTAATCAAAAATATTAATTTATATGACACATGGGACAAACGAGAATGCGGCTCACCTGATGGTAAATGATTACCGCCGCCCATAAGCACCCGCAACACCAGGGGAATTTCAAGTACGTTCTCGGCCAGTTAAAAAGAAATAATTATTAGATGTCAGGTGCATGGACCTGTAGCACTGCGACCTACATAGATCTATTGTGCTCGCCCTTTTCAAAGTACGCTACTTAGACCCGTCAGGAACAAGAATTGGAGGATAGCGATGGTTTTTATCTCCTCAGGATAGTGTATATATTCTAAAGGAGATATTTCCTTTATGCATGAGAGGGCTACAACCACATAGGATGTGTAGTTATGATCTTTTATAGTCCTTAATTAATTACATTAGCTTTTATTATATATATTGTGAAATGTGTTCTGCAGGATAGCGAGTACAGACGACGTCTGCGCGAACAGGAAAATCTGCGGGAAAGGGTACTTCGAGCCAAAGAGGTCAGGCGTAGGAGGAATGCTGTGGCACTACATCGCCAGCTACAGGACAGGTCAGTTCATGAGCTTCTTCTAGACGCTCCCGCAGGAGAGTTGTTCCAGGACAAATCGGTTCATGGGGTCAATCTAGATCCTTCTCTCGCAGGGGAAAGACCGGTCAGTTCATGGGCTACTTCTAGATTCTTCTCTCGCAGGGGATTTGTGCCAGTTCCTGGTCAGTTCTCCCTTTAGGTCCTCTCGCAGAGAAGTTGTGCCAAATACAGGACGTTCCATTTCCCTTTGGGTGAAGCCTTCCATCTTTTCCCAAGATTCTCTGGTTTTGCCCATAGTTAACCAGTGTTTTCCGGGGGGAAGGGGAGTGTTAGTAATGTGGTCTAATTACGCCCATTGCTAGCAATGTTCGGTATCAGGTTGACCTTCACGTGGTTCACCCTGGAAACTCTTAATAAATTCATAGTGAATTTACTATGATGGGCTAACTCACCTGACCTAATGCTCATCCTATCATCCTACACAGGTGTTGTGTCAGCATAAACCGTTAGCGCAGGCAAGTGCACCATTTCATTATTATCCATTAAAAAAAAAAACAGTTTTTCCCCATAGGAAGGAACATTATACAATGCAAATATTATTTTTTTTTTACACAGAGAGCGTGAACGACTCGATAAAGATAAGGAGTTGCCGAAGTTAGACGAAGTTAAAACACACACAGAGAGACCCACAACCACGAGTGTAGAACAGGACAGCAAGCCGGACACCACCAGAGCGTCGCCGGAGAAGACGGTGAAAATGGAGAAGGTCAGAGAGAGGTCGCCGGTGAGGGTCCGGGAGACTGCGGAAGTTAATTCTACCAGTGGTGAGAATTTTTTTAAATCTTAAGACTGGATTATTCAATGTTAAAATGTTTTTCTTTTGTCTGGGACGTGATGATGCGGCTCGAATTAAAAGATGGTATTTGATGATGGTTTTAGCAGATTACGGGGTGTAGATATGATAATTTTCGCTTACTATTTTGAATTTATTGATAAATGTACTATTTGTTACAAATTATGGACGAATGTAATTACGCTACAGTCGCGGTAAAAACAACAGTGTTACACACATACTCCGCTAAAAAAAATATCTATTATTCGCGGAGCAATAAAGGCGAGGAAAAATAAATAAATAAAAAGGATCATTAAAAAAATTGCAAATGTTATGAACCTTCAGTCTATGGAAATAAGGGCGTAACATGAAATAGAAATAATCTTTATTCAAATAAACTCAATATAAGCACTTTTGAATAGTCAAGCTTTTTTATTCTACCGCTCATGCGGAATGCAGATTTATCACAAGAAGAACGAGCAAGAAATTTGTGACTAATATAAAACAATAATAAAAAAATATGGATATATATTACATTTTGTGTACAATAACAAAATGTATGTTGCGTGATCGATTAGATTTTGAAAGTCTGTTCGTTATATGTAGAATGTATGAGTTAAATTGGATGGGTGTGCGCTCCAAATAAAACGCTCTCTTTGTGTTGGATTTTGTCGCTGCTTGTACGCGACAATGGCGAATAGAATGAATTTAAGGACTACCATCAGAAATGAGCGTAGCGGTTTCTATGTTGATTATCGAATGCTTTTTATTTGTTATTGTGTAATTATTTAAAGAAAAAGAAACATCTATTCAAAAGAGCGACACACAAGTTTTGTATTATTTTTTTACGATTTAACATTAAACAAATATAATAATTTATTAACATAGTTTATGAGTCGTTAGTAACACAATGTGTTCACATTCGAGTTAAATAAATAAATAAAAATGTTTCCCGGGTCAGCTAGTGTATATGTAAATGTATTAGTCACATTGAGAATATGTGATACTATGTGAACTAAGAATATGTGATAATAAATGTGTGATGTTTGTGACCAGAGCCTCTGACGCCGCCCGTCCACGCTCGCCACAGTCCTGAGCGTGCACTCACGCCGCCGCTGCCGCCCCCCGCGTCCTCCACGCCCGCCACGCTCACCACACCCGCCACGCTCACCACGCCCGCCACGCTCACCACGCCCACCACGCCGGTCACAACCGCCAGGACCGACTCCGACGACGACCTCGACCTCATACTCGGGGACATCGATGGTATCTTATCAGACGACGATGATACCGGCCGGTTCAAGCAGACCACCAAGTCAGTACCCATATAATAATAATAATAATCTCAGGTCAATTCACACAGCGCCATCTAGACCCAACTTATAATAACAGGGTCTGGCAATAAACATAGTATATATGTATGTGTGTGTCAAATACACGGTAATGTGTGTAATTTTTTAATGATTTCTTGTATAATGAAAAAATATATATACATATATTAGCATTCTGCACTCCTCTATATAAACTACTACCTATACCCGCGACTTCGTCCGCGTGGAATTTAACAAAAAAGTTAATTAATTTTAGTTGTACTGGACAGTACATGGTCATTGCATCATTACTTTTTTTTTTTTAAATAAAAGATGATTTCTTACATAATAGTAGTCTGAGTTACTCCTTATTATATTCGCTACCTGCCAGTGAAGGTCCCGTGAAAATTGGTACAGCCATTTCAGAGATTAGCCGGAACAAACAAACAGACAGACAAAAATTGTAAAAAATGTTATTTTGGTGTATGTACCGTACCTCGGTATCATACCATTATCATCCATTAAAATAACCCGTCACTAACAAGAATTGAAGGATATTCTTAGGAGCGATGAGTTTTTATCTCAGAATGATGTATGTACTCTTCGAAATGATAACATGAGTAAGTGTTGTATGTTTTTTTATGGACGATAATGGAATGTTGCCCCGCCTGCGCTAACGGTTTACGCTGGCGGGGCACCAGTGGAGGATGATAAGATGAGTATGAGGTCAGGTCAGTTAACCCATCGTGGTAAAATCACCATGAATTTATCACGATGGTCAGGTTTACCACGAGGGTTCCCCCTGGAGAACCCTCGTGGTAAACCTGACCCCTGACGTGGAGATCAACCTGACACAGTACATATACACACAATGTGGGTATTAGTCCACATTACTAACAATCCACTTCGCCTCATTGTTGTATGTTTGTCTGGTGCAGGAGTCCTCCGCCGTCTGTGGGCCGCGACCTTCGTGCCCGGCTCCCGCCTCGAACCCAGAACCAGACATCTACCAGGCAGAAGATCGTCTTCACCAGTCGCACAGGTATATGCCGTCTAGGGTTCATTCCCGGGAATTCTCGGGTCGAGAATTCCCGGGAAATCCTTGGGTTCTGTTCCCGGGAAATCAAGCTCGAGAAAAGTCGAGAACTCGAGAAATCAAGTACCTATATAGAAATTAAATTGACGTTTGTTGTATTGCGTGGCGGCACAATAATACAAGATATTAAGGTTTTCTTTCATGTATTTTTTTTTTGTTTTACAGAAACTATTTTTGTTTACAAGTTTAAGGTAGATTTTTTCTAAATAACCAGCCAAAAATGGTGCTGTCATTATAAATATAAGTCTGAATAATATTAGGTCCTAACATATGAAAGTGGTGTTTTGTAAGGGAGTAACCTGAAGTATTTTTTTTTCAAAATATAACATGTTTATTTAATCAAACTATGTACCATTGCTCTTAATGCACTTTTGCCATCTCATAGGTACTTCATTGATCCCTTTACTGAAAAAAACATTTGAACGGGAACATTTGGACATATCAATAAAATCTTTGTACTTTGGACTGCCTCATCGGATTTGAATTTTTTCCCAATCAGTTATCCAAATTTCGAAAAAAATGGTAATCTGTTGGAGCAAGATGCAATTTCAGTCTTAGACATTACAATTGAATCTCTTCTAATTTGGTAAATGTCAGTTGTGCAGTGTGTGGTCTAGCGTTGTCCTGAAGCAGCAGTAGCCTACGGCGATTGACCAGCCTCGGTTGTTTAGCAGCTAGCTTTCCACTATGGTTTCTCAATTGCTGACAACACACATCTGCCGTAATCATCTGGCCAGATTTAAGAAAGCTGAAGTGAACAACACCGGAACTAGTCCACTAAACGCTCGCAAGTAACTTTTTTTGGGTCAATTTTCGCTTGGGGCAGGATTTGGTTGGTTTGCCAGGGTTCAGCCATTGCGATGAGCGTTTCCAATTATAATACAAGATCCACATCATCACAGGTTCGATTTAAAATCCCTTTATTATTATGCCGGTTGACTAATGTAACGCAGCAGTCTACGCGCGTTTGTCGATCGAAACTCGAATTGTCTACTCAATATACATTTTATATTTTCACCCTCCCAATTTGCTACAAGTGGATTAATACAGTTTTGTCACTAACACCGCAACCTGAAACTAACTCGGACGTGGTTTGCGATGGATCTGCTATTATAATTACCAACCTTGGACTCCAGCCGCCCACGGGGATTGTTTTGCAGGTCGAAATTTCCAGAACGAAAACGTTGCAACCAACAATGCATTGTGTTTTCTTTTGCGACACCACCACCATACACATCATTAATCCTTCGAGCCGTTTCTGCAGCATTAGTGCCATGGCGGAACTCGTACTTGTACTTGTAAATGACGCGATATTTTAAGTTTTCCATTTTATAAGCTGAGTGACCCAAAGAAAAAACCAAGCACATGTATTACGGTTTTCGAAAAACAAATGCATGAGTGAATAGCCGTGTAAATTTGAAATTGAAATTTCTAACCAAAGAGGAGATATTTAAGATCAAAGTGGCCAGTACGACAAAACGCTAATTTCATATTTAAGAACCTAATATATTTCAGTATTTAAAAAAAATGGCTTATTCATAATATGTATAATGTTTTTAAATATACCTACTCAATAAAAGTTTTATAATTCATTTTATAGTTAAATTTTATAATTAATATTTAACAAAAAATGCAGTGGTTTTCGTCTCAAATGAAACCACTGAGTTTTTTGACGTTATTGGAACAAAAAGAAACCAAACGTACGTAAATGTAAATTTCTCGACAACCCGAGAAGACCCGAGAAATTAACCTCGAGAATTCTCGAGACCCGAGAAATTGAAAAGCTCGAGAAATCATGAACCCTAATGCCGTCACCTTAAAACTTGAAACTCCTAACCATACCACTCCATAAGCAGTTCCTAAGTATCGCTTAAAAATGAACAACTATTGCCATGCACGCTCGTCATCAAGTAATCGTTTAGTGAGTAAAAGTCGGTACTTTTGTTGCAATGAGGTCCACCGGGACCTCATAGCAACTCTCAATAATAGACTTCACTTATCCAGGTCCCACTCAACCAGGTTTCATTGTAAATGTTTTGTTACAGAAAAGTCACCACCTAGTCGAGCTGCCGCCAGCAGCTCCACTTCTGAAGACACAGAGAACATACAGAAAACAACCAATAAGGTATTTTTAAACTTATTTAATACTAGCTACCCCGCGTTACTTCGTCTGCATCACACTTACGTGACGTTTATCACTATATTTCGCACAATTTACATAATATCTTTTACAATTATAGCCAATGTGTTATTCTGATGTTTAAGCTATATTACTGTAAAGTTTCATCACAATCTGTTCAGTAGTTTTTGCGTGAAATAGTAACAAACATCCGTCCGTACTCACAAACTTTTGCGTTTGTAATATTAGTAAGATGATCATGGATTTTTTTTGCTGCAGGCTAAACAAAAAACGGAAATTAACTCGACGAAAATTAGACAACGAATAACATTTGATAAAAAGGATGTACTTGATAAAAAAGAGGTAAGTTTTTAATCATAAAGATCTCTCCGATCGCTTCCCCGTCCAATTCAATCGAGGATAAAAATTAAGAAGGCCTTCGAAACCCTAACGGTGCCCTCAGACTAAAGTCATATCCGTCAGGCGGGATTTGTTCTTCAGCCGCTCCATAAGTCCTTCCTTTGGTTTGCAGTACCATATGTACTAGCGACTACTATAGACTGGTGAAGCTGTAAAGCGAACAGTGTAAGAGTAGTCCGAATGTTTTGAAAATTTTATTAAGAATCTCTATGAGACCTATAAGAATTTTGATTTGATTTGTATAATGATTTTTTTACAGTCTGCCAAAGAGGAGAAGACACAACCCTTCACAAACCGACGAGTGATCCTCCAAAATAAACCGCAAACCAAAGAAAAGTCTGTATTCTCACGCATAGAAGGCAAAAATGATCCCAGTAAACCCAACCCTGGCATATTCAGCAGGGCCGTCCGCACCGCTATAGGGTCGGAGAAGCCCCGTATAGTTATAAAGAAACAGGAAGAGCCGCAGGTTGAGTATAACTCAGATTCAGATGTAGATGAGGAGAAATATCTGAGCGATGGGAACGTTGCCATGGTAACGAACTTGCCAGATGGCATCACGGATACCAGACTGAAGACATTGGCCGGAAATGATATACAGGTAAACAATAAGCATTATAGGGTTAAGTTGATTGTATGGTTTGATGCTTCATATGTGAATAAGTTCGGACTTAAAAAGATATATGTAACAAGCAGTCCCAGATATTGTAGTTTTCCCATTTAAATTAATATCGGTAATAAATATAGGATTGACCATAAACCTTTATATGTACCCTATATTTTATATTTCATCATCTCAGCCCGGAAGACGTCCACTGCTGGACATAGGCCTCCCCCAAAGATCTCCACGACGATCGGTCTTGCGCTGCTCGCATTTAATGCCTTCCAGAGATCTTGGACGTGGACCAAGTGGATCGTGGACCGACACGATTTATATTTATTTCCCTATAATTTATATAAACTGTCCCTATATTAACCCTATGAATATAGGGTTATATTAACGTACCGAATAATAAAAAAATATATAAATATATTATATCAGATAAATATTTGAATAGGTCAAATGTCAGAAAACTTTAGCTGTATTCTCAAAAACTTGAACTGTGTTTACTCCCATAGTTTCCATTTATTTTAAAACCTCTGTAAGGTAACACGGCCCACGAGAAATGTCACGGAATATTGATGGATTTTTAACTCAACCGTTGGAATTTATTATATTTAGAATCGTTGGTTCTAACTGAAATTACATGTTTAACCTGGGAATTCGTTTTTAATAGACGTACTGGAGGTGTCAGTACGTAAGTAGTGAGAGTCAGTATATAACAGATACTGACTCTCACTAGGAGGTGTCAGTACGTCACAGAACAATATAATTATATATATATATATACATTTTTGATATGAAATATGTTTTCCTTTATTTAAGCAATAACAAGGGAATACACCAAAACTTGTACGAAACGATACGTCCCACCCGTTCTAGGTTCCAAGGCGCAACATGAATTTCAAAAATGTAATAATAATAATAATCTCAGGACAATTTACACAGCGCCATCTAGACCCAAATTAAGTTAGCTAGAGCTTGTGTTATGGGTACTAGATACTGATATAAATACATAGATACATTTGTTTTTCGTAAATACATTCATATTATACATAGAAAATACCCAGACCGATACAATCATACTCAGGAATACAAATGTTTGTGCCGTGCGAGGAATCGAACCCGCGACCATCGGAGGTAAGGCGGTGTGCTAAACCGCTAGACCACCGAGGCCGTCTATTATGTAAGCATATGATCATAGTGCATATTAAAACTATTCAATCTTACTTTTCGTTCATCAGAAAATAATAGACATCTAACTGTCCTTTTCTTTTATCGTGTTAGAAAACCCTTTTGAAAAGACCGCAGGAGGGATTACTAGGGGGTGTGTGTAATTCTTACCCACTAAAAAACTACAATGTGGACCTACGAGCGTTATTACTGAAGTCACTTGTAATGGCATAACCCCGGCTCCGACGGCGTTGGCCTGCCCTGTACATGGTATAGGGCAGGCCCCATCTCCTTTTTATAGGGCAGACCTCATCTCGTTTTTAGGGTAGACTCCATCTCGTTTTTAGGGTAGACCCCATCTCGTTTTTAGGGTAGACCCCATCTCGTTTTTAGGGCAGGATCCATCCTGTTTTTAGGGTAGACCCATCCTGTTTTTAGGGTAGACCCATCTCGTTTTTAGGGCAGGATCCATCCTGTTTTTAGGGTAGACCCATCTCGTTTTTAGGGCAGACCCCATCTCGTTTTTAGGGTAGACCCCATCTCGTTTTTAGGGTAGGATCCATCCTGTTTTTAAGGTAGACCCATCCTGTTTTTAGAGTAGACCCCATCTCGTTTTTAGGGCAGGATCCATCCTGTTTTTAGGGTAGACCCATCTCGTTTTTAGGGCAGACCCCATCTAGTTTTTAAGGCGGGCCCCATCATGTTTTAAGGCGCTCTATTTCGCACTAAATTGGCGTCTAGCAACCCTGATTATTATTATATTATCGCAATTACAGTACATAGTTAAGACCCAAGTTAGATACATCTGTGATACAAATTCTGTGATATATGTATACTAAAAGAATAAAGAAAGAAAGAAAGAAAGAAAAATATTTTATTCAGTGCAATGTAAAAAATACAATATAAACAACAAATGAAAAAAGAGCAAATAAAATGTACATATAATTAAACTTAATTTACCATAATTAAAAATAAACATAAAATAATCATTTTATACATCCAAAAATGCACTGAAATGGCTCCACTCAGCTATAATGTAAAATAATATTATAATAGAATATAAAATATTCAAATAATTTTTGTGAATAGTCATACTTATTTTATTAATCTACCACTTATTCGGAAAGATGTCTTATAACAAGAAAACGAACAAGAGACTTGCGTGTTGCTCTTTTAAATAATCGTTGTAACTTTACATTTTTAAGTCGAAACGTGAGTACAAACCACCAACTAGTACTAAATAAGTTTTAGTGTATTTTTTATTAGGTTTATCTATAATTGCAAATAATATTATTTATTCATTTAATTCGGATATTATGTTAGTAAATTACAATTTTATTCATTCAATTCATATATTTATGTCTATTTCCACGTCCAGAAGCACTGCTGCGCAGCAGTGTAGCGATGTCCAGTGTCTCCTGGAGCGGACAATCTGATATATTTAATATGGTGTTTTTTATGAGCTCCCCACCCCGTCACGACATATGCGGAGCGGAGACCTAGTTGGTACTGTAATTATTAATATAAAATGTAAATTAAATTAAAAAAAATATTTTCAGTGTACCAAATAAACAATTTTCTTTCTTTCTTCTTTCTATATTGCCTCGAATATTGCGCGGACGAAGCATTTTAATGTCCCATTGTCTTGTATAACATAATGGAGCTTCTAATGAAACTCAGATTTATATGTTTAAGTATGTATTTTAATTTCGACAACGTTTTACAAATTAAGTTAGTACAAAAGAAGTGAACTCAATAATTGACGAACGATAAGAAAAAAAATTAAAATTATGCAGGTATACAAAAAACAAGTGCATATGCAATGCTCTAAAAATATAATAAAAAACACGTTTGAAGCATCAAACATAGTGTTGTGTATTTATACAGCACTGAATACACGTCTGTGATATAAATTGTGTGATATATTTATATTGTATTTATATATATAATGTATATGTCTATTTTTATGGTTATTAACTCATTCACTGCCATTGTAGGTTGTAACAACTACAAGGCGTTTTATGTTTGTTTTGTAACTTAAATTAATATACATGTAATTAATTGTATTATATGTAACTAGCTACTCGCCCCGGCTTCACTCGGATGTACATGTTATATATATATATGTATAAACCTTCCTCTAGAATCACTCTATCTATTAAAAAAATGCTTCAAAATGCGCTGCGTAGTTTTAAAAATTTAAGCATAAATAGGGACAGACAGTCAGCGACAGCGACTTTGTTTTATACCATGTAATGATAATGTTACCAATGGCAGTAGTTATTAATTTAATTATTACAATAAAACGTTGTGTTTGATAAGTCATAGGTATCGTGTATCACGTCGATCGTTTGTTATTCGATTTTTTTATATTTATTTATAACTCGCTGTACCTGCTACTTCATCTGCGTGGAATTTAACTTTATCTTTCTAAAATAAAAGTAGCCTAAGTTACTCCTTATTACATCAGCTACCTGCCAAAAAAGTCCCCTCAAAATCGGTACAGCCATTTCAGAGATTAGTCGGAACAAACATCCAGACAGACAGACAAAAATTGTAAAAAACGTTTATTTTGGTGTATGTACCGTATTTATATTCATATGCATGTAGTAAAAAACGGTTATTTCAATATTACAAACAGACACTCCAATTTTATTTATATGTATAGATGTGGGCCATTAGTTGCCTGAAATAAATAAATAAATAAATATTAATCTATGATGGCAATGGATGTGTTAATAATAATTTTATAGTAATTTTCTATGGCAGAAAGTATTTTGATGAATTTTCTATTCTAATTGTTCACATATTATATTAATAATGAACTTTATTTATTAGACACAAGGTTCATTATGATATTACGTATAGTTTCTTTAAGTACAAAAACAGCGTGACTTCTTGTCTTTCGAGTTTGAAACCTTAACTAAGTGATCTGTACTACAGGAAATTAATATTATAAGTAATGTTTTTTTTATTATAACAAGCGTCTGTTGTAGAATGTATTTTTTTTATTGTGTACATAATATACAAGTGTTGAATTTGTACAGTTTGAAAATTGTACTGAATCTCAATAATGTACAGTATATGTTATATATATTATGAAATTAAGCCTAAATACTATGATATATAACATAAATAGAATGTATCCGTATCCGAAATCAGTTTAGTGAATTATTTTCACATAACAATTACACAATTGACACGAAAATTACAAATATAATGCTATCTCTTTCGCACTGTAGCGTTTATTGAAAGCTGAAATGAAATTAAAAATGAAAATGTGTTTTCGGAATAGGTTTTCACATAAAACTATTGGTTTTTTTGTAAGGTAATACATAATAAGTTTATTGTGTAGAAGATAATTTTAAAGGAGGGACATCTACCCTCCCCTACGCTTAACAGCAGTATTCCTCTATTGTCAATGTTTTATATAAGGGAAATATGAAATTGTCCAAATCAAAGGCAAAATTGTGTATTCATTGAAGACATCATTTGCCTAAGGAAATATTAAATGTTCTAAATCAAAGACAAAATTATGTATACATACAGAACACCTTTCGCCTGCTTATGCGACATATAAACATCATTGCAAAATTACGAACAAATTGTCTTATAATATTTAATCAACTATTTGTATTAAGTTTATTAATTATTTGAAATGAAATGCAAATTAACGTTTATTTGCGAAGAATGGTTAAGGAATCGTTATATTATATAGTTCAACACATTCCGCCTTATGTAAAGGCATGTTTGATATTAATGATTATGCTTCTGTAAATGGTTACATAATTCTAGATAATATATTAAATTATACAATTTAAAAATATTATATATTACTGGTTAGTATTATATGTCAATATAATTCTTATTTTTATATCAAAATACTAATATAATCCAATTCATAAATCAATTTACCTAAATAAAAGCTAAATGTGAAAATTAACATTTATTATGTTCTTGTAATGTTGCTTATTACGATTGTATGTGTTACAATGGTCAATACATTATGTATCAAATGACACACACACATATATTTTTATGTATACATTCTATATTTATTTACATTATCTTAATATTTAATATTACGGTGTATTTAAGGTTTACGAAACGTTATATATAAGTTAATATATGCGCATGGTATTGAATATATTTTTTTACATGGAACCATGCAATTTCAATGTGATAAAACTAGTCAATGATTGTAACATTAAATATAATGTATACAATTATATATTACATTTAATTTAATTAAGTCTCTATTTACACATTACATAAAGTGTATATTTAAGCGATTATAACTCCTATTTTTAATTGCGCTCAATATAATATTACATAATGAGAAAATTGTATGTATTTGTGAGAATTTCTCATGTTGAGATTGTATGTATCTTAAACCAAAAACTGCTAAGTAGATGAATGACATCATTTTCTTGTGTGTACAAGTAATTTTTCTTTATACTACTTTAGTATAGGTTGGTCTGGTAAAGGACCAGAAAATGCTGTGGAAAAAACGTGTTCTGATGTTAAATTTTAGTCTTTAATTAACTAAATAAAGAGATTTTTATCTACTTTTCAGTTTCTGTAATTAACTAATAAACCTACATACATATTTAATATATGTTATATTTATTATTAAGCGGAATACTTCTTGTTGCTAAGTTTATATTGTTTAATATTAATTAGTACTAAGTTTAAATAAGTAATGAGGAATGAAACCCCCGGATTAATGTTCCAGAGCTTAAGTTTGGACAAAGCGGAACGCAGCGCCATAATAACGTTTAAAACGTCGACAGCGGCGGAGGGATTCAAGAGGAAATTTAACAACAAAATGGTCTCCAAAAGTAAATTGACCGTCGTTGTACGCTAACTTCGAATGTAACCTTTTAATGTAGCATTTTGTGTGTATTTGTAACCTTTTCTCAGATTGTAATACACATATTACTCACAATGTAACGTCTTTGTTATTCAACTCGAATTGTAATATTCGCTTATACTTTATTAACTATATTGTTGTTTCTATGTAGTGTATTTATGACCATAAAAGTTGTGAAAACATAAAAATTTATCTTCTATATTATATAGGCATACATATAATAGTGCAAATAAATATGTGATACGCCTGCTGTTGACTAAATTAATTGTATTAGGATTACAATTTTTGAAAATTAAATTGTAATCCATTTGTTTACTACAATTTCATTGCATTTAGACTACGAATAATAATGGTAGAAACTCGTTCTTATATTCAATCAAGTTTCTATATTGTTCAATAAGATGTAAGAATATTAGCCGTAGCCCCGTAGCACCTTGTTATTATAAATATTTAATATTCAAATCAGAAATGTACCAATTCATCACACGAAAGCAATATACTGTACAAAACTATAGCGTATACACTTTTGTAACAACCTATTTGTAATCACAAGTAACTGTATAACTATTTGATATAATTGAAATTAAGTTGAACATTTAATATTGATTGTTAACAATATGGAAATGGCAGTTTTATTTCGAATTTGGTGTCATGTTTTTGTTTTTTTATTAGTCTTTGTGATGTAGCAAAAGTAACGATTTTGTAATATTCGTGTTGGTATTACATTACAAGTTAAGAAAATGACTTATATGTTTTGATAGAGTTCACGAAAATTCTTGTAATTGAACATAAGTAGACGATGATATATTATACTTATTTAAATTAAAAATCACACGCTTTTTGACACATTTTCATATATAATAATAATATAGAAATGATGTAATATTACATCTCTTGTAATTTGTTATATATGTAACATTTCTGTTATGTAAACTTTAAGAGTGACATTTTGCACGAATTTTTCGTCATGACATTTTTTTTATTTAAATTATGTTTTGTAGAAATTGTTTGACCATTTTTAAATTTAAATTTCTATTAATACAATTGTATTTATAAAAGAAATGTAGAAAATAGTCCATAATCTTCACCTGAGAGAATTTTAACTTAGTGTAAGTTAATAACTTTAATTTGAAACCAACCAAATTATCTTGAATTGACTTGTGGTAAACCTTAAGTAGTTCTTGTTGGAATTTATACAATAACATCATATATAATAATAAAAATGACCTACTTGTATAAAATTATGAACAGCAAAGTCTTGTCCTATTTGTAGAAGCGAGATACAGTAGGGATGCTTAGAGCAACTAACTTGTAGCCTACTTGTGGGAGCAAGAAACTAGTGTAGGTACTACTTGTAGGACCACAACGAAAATTTCCTTAAATTTTCTCATTTGAAATATCTAAATTTTAATATACCACTAGTGGTAACGTAAATAAGTGGTAGATCTGATGTTAAGCTGCTACCGTAGCCTATAATTTGCAGATGTTAACGTTAAGATCATTAAAAAATGTTGTGGTAAATGTAGTTTTTGAAAAACTGATGGTATTTTTTTTAAATGTTAATTATAGCTTGAAAATTGTTTCCGGTGTTTATATTAGTTATATAAATAAATAATGTACGTATGTAGTACAAAAAGTACTGTACATTTGGCGGACTTAACACCATCGCGTATTTTCTACCAGTCAACCATAGATAAAGCAGAGGATAATTGCTGTCTGAGTGTGAGTCTGTGCAAATATAATAAATAGAAATACTAGGCATATAAAAAGAAATAAATACATAATATAGATACTTACATACATACCAAAGAACTACAGAAAATAAAAAAAAGATATTTTTTTTATTCTATAGTTCGACTCGTGATTCGTTATATAAGTATATAGAGCTATAAGTGATGCATACAGTAGCTTTTATAGGCTATTTTTTCCAAAATGTATTTTATTTTGCGTTAACTCCTGTTCTGTCAGACATCAATAGGCTACAGTAAATGTTTACCATCAGATCAAACATACGTTATAACTAAAAAAAATAAAATATAGGAAAATCGATTTTCCTAAAATTAACTATAAAATGCAAATTATGGATAATCTGTATCTGTATATATGTTTGTTTGCAATTATTGTAGTATAGAAAAAAGTATCATTTTAATTGAAACTTTAAATTTCTTTGAATGACGTTACACGTTCTATCTATATGATAATATAATAGGGTCCTATTTAAGAACCAATGAACAATCTAAAATATTATGTTCCTTTATATAAGTGAAATAAAATTTAGTTCACATTTTTTTTCTATTATTATAATAGATTATGTTTTATAAGATTTAGCAATTAGTTTTTTTATTTCTTTGGTCTGGTCCTAATTAAATTTATGTAAGGGAAATATTTGTTTGTTATACTTGCCAATTCTAATATATTAGATGTTTTCAGTTCTTATAGACGCTATACAGAGTTTTTGTAGTCAAGGAAAGCCAGGTAGAATGCTCTTACACCGAGAAACGATAAGTGGGCTATTGGAAATAAATTTGGAACTTTGCAATACTAAATTCTAACAGGGTAGTTAGTTGTGTGAAGTTTTGAAAAAATATTTTACGTTCCCTCATTTGGTTCTTTGTCAAAGTTGTTTTATGAAAGTTGACATTGGTTTTCGTCATTGTGTACCTTCTACGATCAAACTAGTCCTCAAAAGGGACTTGGAGAAGTAGAACATGTGTTTTATAACAAAATGTATGTATGTATAACGATGATATTTTTGTTTTATTTAATTAAAATTAAATATTGTTATTTACAACTTACAATATCTCGTTTGTCATAGACTTTCATTGGTCTATTTATTTCTATTACATTGATTGATTCATACATTTGTAGTGTGAAGGTATTATATGTTTAAATATGGTGTAACATTACAATAATGTGTTGTAACATTCTCATAAATGTATGGTAATGCCTACTCGAAATGACAATAAAACTATAGTTAAACGTGTTTTGCCTTGAATAATTTTATGGTAAATAAAGGTAAAATACCTTTATTTACCATAAAATTGTTAATGCAGTGATAACAAATGTTCAAAATTTATTTTCAGATTTCTGACTTTCTTTCTAGGTTTAAGAGGTTCTGTTTTATAAGTTGGTTAACCGGGTTTTACCTTGAGATTTAATTTACAATTAATTTTAGTTATTTAATATGTGTAAGAGAAAATAACTGTAGCTCATTGGACCAGATCGTTATTTTTAATAAATGTAATAATTTTTCTTTAACATGTATAGTTTATAACTTGAATAATATTTGTTAGAGCATTTATACGAAAGACTTATGTAGTAATAATAGACAGACGAAGAAAATATGCTACAGATAAAAAAATATAATATTCTCCATTAAATAAAATCATTTAATTGTGGAATGTTATTCTTTTGAGTTATATTCACATTTGAGAAAATATTTTCGATCAATAATACTAACTATATAATGATATGATAACAATTTTTAATATTATCAAGATTTACTATGTAGTTTGCTGCCGTTTAGTTATTTCATTCTAAGGTGTGTTACAGAGTAAGACATGGCAGAGAAATTATAAGGTACAACAATATCTTAGCCTGCAGGAATGACAACTCATTAGTGGGTATTACAGGTGTTATGTGAATCTTTACGGATCTCAAAGGGCACTCACGCCAAATCCAAGGACTTATGGAGCTACAGAAGGGTAATTTTTGCCTGATGGATGTCTCCAGTGATCGCTTGGGGTTCGGATCTCAGCTCAGGTCGTTGTAATCTATTCTATCCCCACTAGAATGTGACAGGGGTTGAAGTGGGCTGTATTCTACTACTGTATTACAGTTGCTAGTGTGTATATAAAGTATCAGCTACTGAAATGCAAGTTTTGCCTGATGGATGTCTTCAGTGATCGCTTGGGGTTCGGATCTCGGCTCAGGTCGTTGTAATCTATACTATCCCCACTAGAATGTGACAGAAGATAGAGTGGGCTGTATTCGTTTTATATGTATATTAGCAACACGTTTTATATGTATATAGATACAAGCAACTCATCCCGATTTGCTTGTATCTATATAACGTGTAATTCTGAAAGGCTAATTTCAGTAGTCTCCTCCAACGGGCATAAAAAACATATTAATTTTAACTTTTTAATTATTGAAATGATACTATATTTTAAATTACCTAACTATAGAAAACAGGTGACACCGTTCGATGCTAAAACTATGTAATATTATCTTATCTGTGCTAGAAGTAATGCTCTCAGAATCAGTCAGAATCATCAGTCTCAGAATTAACGCAAACCACAATTGCCCCAATATACCGTTTAACAGATTTAATATAAAATTAACAGTATTGCAATTAAAACTGTCCAGTTATTATATTGAAATTGTGACATTGAGGCTTCTTTCATACTCGGCGCGTATAAATTCTGCTCCTCAGCAGTTTTATTAGAGCTGTGCACTGCATATGTAACATGCTTCAATCAGACCTCCGATTTTTGTACATAAAATATTAGGAAATGTTTTGTAGTTGTTTGTCGGATGTAGTTTTTTTTTAGTAGAAAATATTGGTGGCTGTTTTAGTGGAAAATAGTGGAGGATGAACATGAAGTCAGTCAGTCAGGTCAGAGGGAATTTATCACGATGGTTTCCAGGAGAACCGCATGGAGGTAAACCTGACGTGGTATATTGGTAGCAATGGAATCGTAAGTCCACATCGCTAACTTCCCCCCAGTTACTCATTCATAACATAGCGTTCTATCTAATATATAAAATTATCGTGTTACAGGTTTCGTGTTTATACTCCTCTGAAACGGCTTGACTGATTTCGATGAAATTTTATATCTATATTCAGTAGGTCTGAGAATAGGTTTATAACTAATTTTCGTACCCCTAAGTATTAAGGGTGGCTCACGCCAAAATTATTCAAAACAAAATTATTTTTTTTATTTTAATTTATTAAAATACATACAACCCTAAATTTTCACCCTTCTATCATCAACCCCTATTTTTTAATAGCTATTTTAATTGATATAGCAAAACGTTTGCGGAGTCAACTAGTAGTTATATAAAAACAGATGTAGTTCATAACATACCGTTATGGGTTCTGTTTTATTAAATTAGTTTTTTTTTTCATAAATACAATAAATTGATTCAATCATGTTTTACATATAAATATATTATATATTCCAATAAATTACTGTAAAATATTTAGTGTTATTGATCGAAATATTTAAAATCGAAGAATCGATCCTTTTTTTTTTGTTATATATACGTTAGTTTTAAGATGTTTATAGTATCACGTAAACTACGTGTGTGTTTTTTGTGTATCTAGACTAGATAACAATATAGAAATGCAAGAATACGTTTTGTTTGTATTTGAACCGAGATCTCCAATAAATTTATTATTGAAATTGCGTACGAGCTATATCATTTTGTACCCTGTATATATTAATTTTGTGTATGTTAAAATTAAAATATCTGACATTTCTCTGTGGTTGTATAAACCGGGAATCGAATTGGGAGTTCAAATTTAATTAACAATTATGTTTTTATCTCAATTCGTAATCCCTGAATGTTTCTTTTGTAAAAATTATATACAATCACATGTGAGATGGTAAAGATTTTTACTTTTCTGTGATATATAAAATTTGCGTGAGATATAATTTGTTTTATATCCAACGCATATGTATAAGACTGATTAAATAAAACATCCAGTAATAAATCATCGTTTTATTTCATCCTTACATACAATTAAAAAATATTAAAAATATACAGGTTATGGTAAAAAAATAGAATGAAAATTTTTAATTCATTATTCTAACAATACACTGGGTCAAATTATAATCTATATGATACTAGTTCTTGTTCGCGGCTTTGTATGAGTGGTGTCAATCATATATTCACTCAAAATGCATTTCAAAATTTTAAAAAAATCATACTTTACATACATACAGATAACAATCTGTACTTCATTACATGCTCATATTTCTAAAAGATCCAATTGAATTGAATTGAATCGATAAAGATATAATTTTTTTTTAAATAGAGTCAACCCTTTTTCATGTTAAATGATGATAATCAAATAATAATTTTAAAAACATAAATAAATAATTACACATTTGATATTACATGCTGATATTTCTAGAAGATCCTGTTATAAAAAAAATAATAATGTAACTCCCACTTTACCCATGTTAAATGATGTTGTAATATATGTTACATTATCAAATAATAATGGGAATTAAATATATAAAAAAATCATCACATATTTGATATCTGTATTTTATTACATGCTGATAGTTCTAGAAGATCCTGATATAAAAAAAATTGATAGTGTAACTCCCACTTTACCCATGTTAAATGATGTCGTATAGAATATTACATTATCAAATAATCATTAACTTAGTGTAATTAATATTAAATAATTTATTATTCCTAATGGACGCTCCATAATTAATGGATTAAATTTTTTTTTTAAATAAATCATATTTCTAATTCATAATGTTCATAAATTAATGACGTCCGATATTAAATATAATAAAAAATACGGTAAGTACTTACATAATACTATTTTAAAATGGACCAAATAATGTTTTAATAAATTAATTATATGACTAATTCTTAATGTTATTAAATTATTAATGTAAATATTATATAATCAAAAATACGTTAAGTAAATAGAATAAATACTATTATTATTTGTTAAATAAAGTTTAGCAGCCTCATAAAAAATTAAAATATGAACGAACGAACGAATCTTCATTATATTTGTCTCTTTCTAATGAAGAATGTACTGAGAGGTATAAAATTTTAATAGGTACATTTGTGTTACAGACAATAATAATACAAAACCTATTAAGATAATTATCTACCACATCGCCTTACTTCAACGATCGCGAGTTTGATTCCCTGCACAGTACATTCATTTGTATTCATGAGTATGATTGATTGTATGGGCGTTTTGTATGTATATTATTTATAAAAATCAAATGTATTTATGTATTTATATCAGTTGTCTAGTTGTGTTATGAGTAACACAAGCTTTAGCTAGCTTAACTTGGGTCTAGATGGCGCTGTGTGAACTGTCCTGTGGTTATTACATATTATTAAGTACATAGTCACATATTTTTTTTAATTTATCATCCTTTACGAATGCAATCTTATCTTGAATTGATAATAAGAAACACGGGTTCCAATGATGATGAAGTGATAATAAATGTGATATCACGAAATGGGGTAATCAGAGGTATTGTCAATTATACACATAATGACGCCTACATATGACATGTCGACATCTTTCTGGGGTATATATTTTTTTACTTTTATTGTAATTTTTTATCTGTGTACAATACAGAGTTATTATTATTATTATGTTTGTATTCAACATAGCAGGTGGTGAGCTACCTACACTGGGATTACTGTTTGGTTTTGGTATTAGTGATGTTTCACTTTTAGGTTTTTTTTTATTTTATTGTATTTTACTAAACATTGATGAATTTTAAACATCCTACCTCCCTTCTTTCTTTCTCTACCTTTCTATATTAATACAAAGAATATTACAAAGTTCTGTACGGTAATACACTAAAACGTGATTTTAACCATCAGACTTAACTGTTAGGTATAATGTTAATAATTCAGTAGGTAGTCTTATCAGTAAAAATATAGGTACATAGCACTTCTTTTATTTAATACAAAACAAACATCAAATTATACAAAATAAACGGGCTGTATGGGCTGAGTCCTTTTGCCTTTCCCTATAAAGGGAAACACCGAACCAAAAACAAAAATATAAAATAAACTTGTTACTTTAAAAGGTCGTCAAAATATTTATTTTTAGTCTCATGATTACGATACTGAGAATTTTATTCTCGGGATCCTCGTCAAAAATAACATTTTGACATACAATTTTGTGATGATAAGTAGCTATAATTTGTATACGTAAGGTACGTTCGTGTCGACGCCTTAAGAACTCATCTGAATTGTGTATCCTCTTGTTAACAATTCACTTTTAATTCAAACAGGATTTGTTATTTGACAGTTTAGCGCTTATGTATTTGACAGTTTCAGTTGCTAACCAATGTCTTACACGTGAGAATTGTTAACAAATGACATTTTAGAGATTATAGTCTATATAATATAACGCGTCCAGTAGCGGTGGTCAGGATTCCGCACGGACAGGTCTCACACATGCTAATAGTATCGAAATTAAATAAAATTATACAAATCCATTAATAAAATGTTGCGCAAAACAACATCTAATTCATATCATTCAACATCAGTCCACTGCTGGACATAGGTCTTCCCCAAGGAACAGAACTGGGCCCGATCTTCAACTCCTCTCTTTCAGTTATTATCCGCAACCCTACGTATATAGCTCTACCTAGCTGCAAGGCGTCATAAAAAACGTACCTATTCTTACATATACATTAAAATATATAGTTATTTCTAAACGTCATAAAGTTTGCGAAATTAAAATACTTGGGCATAGCTTCGAGGATCATCTCGAACTGAGCGGTGTAGTCTTCAGGATGTTGTATTTTGTGGGCGTGGTGAGATACATCTACTAATGGTTGGTTCTGTTGCGATAACGGCACCTGTACATCAGATAATAGAGTCATCATCATCTGCTTCTTCCTTATCCCATTTATTTGTGGTCGGCGTAATATGGTTTTCTCTTCCATTCATCTCTGTTCGTAGTCATCTAGTTATTTACTCCCTTTCTTACCATATCTTTCACACAGTCTATCCATCTTATCCATTATTATAATACTAGCTTTTACCTGCGGCTTTGCTTGCATTAAATCTATTAAATAATTTCATTACTGGATGCTAGATGGCGGTGAAGTAGCAAAATGTTGATAATTTTTTTTTATTGTATAGAATGGAGTATAGTGAGATGACTGCGAACAGGAAAGAATGGAAGAGAAAATGTATATTTATGTTAATAACAACATGTCAACATTTTTGCAAATGTCTAACCATGTGTTTATGAAAGAAATTAATTAATTAAAAAAATATACTTACAATGAGTGTGAGATTGAAGGAGAGCTGATCGAGGGTGCCCTTGTAGGTGGCTTCCGAGTGCACCATTACGTAGTATGGTCTGCCGGCGTGCTGGACAGCAGGTGGCAGCTGCGGAGACAGGGTCCAGGACTTCAGCTGGACACCAACATGGGGCCACACGGTCACCATATTGTGGGGCGCGGCTGTAGATTCAAAGCCGGTTATTAACGATTGTAATCAAGCGGTTAAAAATGTTTTTTTCGTTATTAACGGTTATTTAACCGAATATAGGATTTCTTTTCTGTGATATCAGCTCTTCTATTTGAATCAATACAATATTATAAAAATACATCTCACCTATCATCCTCTTTCTTTATATCTATAACCAAATAATTTCATCACAGTAGTCCAACTGACCACATGCTCATCTTATCATCCTCCAATGGTGGAGCATAAACCATTAACGGAGACGAGTGAATCATTCCACTATCATCGTTCCAAAAATATACAGTATAAGGAGATTGTTAATAATGAGGCTTATGACCCTGTAACAATGTCAGATTGATCTCCACGCAGTTCCCCTGGAAACCAGCCTGATGAATTTCACGATGTGCTAACTGACCTGACCACATGCTCATCTCATCATCCTCCACTGGTGCCCCGCCAGTTCATCATTCCATTATTAAAAAATATGATAATATAATTCGCCAGAGAACTAAGGTCACGGATATAGCTCTTCGTAATTGTAAGTTGAAGCGGCAGTGGGCTGGTCATATCTATCAGAACCGATGCTCGCTGGAGTAGACGTGTTCTAGAGTGGAGACCGCGAATTAGCAAACGTAGTGTAGGACGCCCTGCAGCTAGGTGGAGCGACGACATACGTAGGGTTGCGGGTAATGACTGTAAGAGAAGGGCTGAAGATCGGGCCCAGTTGTGTGCCTTGGGAGACGCACATGATGATGATGATGATGATGATGAAAAAATATAATAGAGACCTGTCATGACAAGTTCCAGCGTGCAGGTCTCCCCGATGCAGGAGCGTCCCCTGCGGACAATACCCGCAGTGGGGGAGAACGGGGCCGGACCAGATGTGTACAGGAACAGACCGTCCTTCCTGCAAAATAACACACCAATAAACTTACTACCACTACTTTGAAATTATGTCATTTTTTTATTCTACCATTAGAGCAGCTGGTAACCCCACGTTCATGGTCCCCCCATGAACGTGGGGTTACCAGCTGCTTGCCAGGGGATTGTTAGTAATGTGGGTTAATAACCCCATTGTTAGCAATGTACCATCTCAGGTTGACCTCGACGCAGGACCTCCCCCCTGGAAAACATCGTGATAAATTACTGGTGAATTTACCACGATGGGCTAACTGACCTGACCTCATGTTCATCTTATCATCCTCCACTGGTACTCCGCCAGCGTAAACCGTTAGCGCAGGCGGGTGCACCATTCCATTATCATCCATAAAAAAAAAACTTCATTCCATTTTCTTTCCACACACGCGGAAGTAGCCTCTACGTGTTTATTCTACAAGTATTGTCATTTGTACTCTGTGTGATGAGTATTTGTTTCTATGTCAGTAGTTAGTCTGTGCCGGAGAGATTGTACAATAAATGTAATATTAATACTATAGCTCAAAAATAACAGTGTTACAAATTCAAGCACAGAGTAATATTCCAAACTCTAGGTATAATAAAAAAAACAACCGAGTCAAATACATACTATAGCTAAAGAATAACAATGCTACAGATCTAAGCACAGAGTAATATCTTGGAATATTACTCTGTGGTGGTGTGTGGAGGACCACGGTGGCCTAGCGGTCTAGCACACCGCTTTCCGTCCGATGGTCGCGGGTTCGACTTCTCGCACGGCACAAACATTTGTATTCATGAGTATGATTGTTTGTATCGGTCTGGGTGTTTTCTATGTATAATATGTATGTATCTAGTACACATAATACAAGCTCTAGCTAGGTTAACTTGGGTCTAGATGGCTCTGTGTGAATTATCCTGAGATTATTATTATTATTATTATTTTAGTTTTTACTAGCTACACGCCTCGGCTTCGCACGGGTATATTTGTATCAATTATCTAGTACCCATAACACAAGCTTTAGCTAGCTTAACTTGGGTCTAGATGGCGCTGTGTGAATTGTCCTGACATTATTATTATTATTACTCTGTGCTTAGACCCTATAATAAAAAAACAACCGATATAAAATACTTACAGATATTGTCCAAACGAGACCCGATACAATGGCAGATTGCAGAACAGATAGGTCTCGCAGTCTTCAGTGAAGTCGGTCCGCGAGTGTAGATTGATGCCGTGGTTGCTGAGCGCCGGCAGCACGCGCTGGGTGCTGTAGGGATCGTGCTTGGTGACCAGCACTCCAGTGGTGGTTTCTGTCACGACACCATTTATGTCATGGCTTTTAATTTCTGTGTGCTGCAAATTAATAATAAATTATTAAACATGCCGTATTGTAAGGAGATTTCTTTCATCACATGCATCATCCTTATATAACTTTTAAACTCATCCACGCTTGAGTAAGACCCGCGTGTTTGAACGTATTACCCCCGTAAAAATTCAAATTAGAATAGAATAGAATAACATTTATTACATCACACATCACAACACAATAAAAATGATGCTGATAGCTGCATATAAATTATTATATAAGATAAACGTAAATAAAAAACAATTCATTAAATTAGAGATGAAATCATTATATACAAAATAATAATAATAATAAACCAATACTAAGTAATAATAATAAAGTAAAATGCATTTCCTATCCACCACTGCGGAGCATCGCCACCGCGTCACTGTGTACTGATGTGTGTGTAAGGGGCCCAAATTCAAAAATCATTTATTTATGTAGGACATTTTAGCCGCTTATGAACGTAAAATTTTTGATATTATATTTTTTTCCTACCGTCCAGTTCGGTATGTAGATCCAATTGAGAAGAACTGGCAAGAAACTCAATTGAATTACTTTTTTTTTAAAAGCCAGTTTATTTACAATGTATATTTATATAGGTGCCTATGTCTAACATTAAAAAGAAGATATATAAAATATATCTTAAAATATATATAAATAATAATAACCCTGACCAATTAAGACAGCGCCATCTAGTCCCAAGCTAAGCAAAAATCTACCTTCAATCAAATAAAAAATAATTTATTAATGTAGGACATTTTAGACACTTATGAACATCAATTTTTTTGTATATTTTTCCCCTACCGTCCAGTTCAGTATACAGATTCAATTGAGAAGAACTGGCAAGTAACTTAATTGGATTGTTTTTATATTCATATGCATGTAGTAAAAAACGGTTATTTCAATATTACAAACAGACACTCTAATTTTATTTATATGTATAGACGACGACTACCTCGATGGTCTAGCGGTCTAGCATACCGCTTTACGTCCGATGGTCGCGGGTTCGATTCCTCGCACGGCACAAACATTTGTATTTATGAGTATGATTGTTTATGTCGGTCTGGGTGTTTTCTACGTATAATATGTATGTATTTACGAAAAAAAAAATTATGTATGTATTTGTATCTTCTGTCTGAATAGTCTTGAGATAAAAAAAAAAGATACTTACAAACCAGTAGTGCCTCTGCGTGGAGGGACCTTCGTCGTTATACGGGCTGAATGGTATGAACATCAACACTATGCAGATCACAGATAGAAAACCTGCCGTCAACCACAGACGCCTATGCGAGAACAGCAGTTCGATTCCGGCCTGGGAACAAAATATTGATGATTTCATTAAAACATTATGCTGAGTTATGGTTCACATTGATATGTGCTTATTATTGTTTTTACATCATTGTTGTTATATACGAGTCAATAAATTCATTTGTGGTTTAAAAAGAATAGTTTTTTTTAAATTGAAGCACTTTTGAATCATATTTTATATTCTGCTCCTCATTTGGATAAGAAGAACGAGCAACAAAATTGTTTTCTGTTCTGTTCTATACCACTCCACTCTATTCTATATTACTCTACTCTATTCTAGGCCACTTCATTCCACTCCACTCCACAGTATTCCACTCCAATCCATTCCTCCACTTTATTTTACTCCATTATTTTCTGTTCTAGTTCATTCTACTTTACTACATTCCAGTCCACTCTACTGTACTCCTATTCTATTCCACTTTCACGTTTCGAATTGTATAATGTGAACTTACAAGAATTGTTTAAAAGAGCAACACACAAGTTTCTTGCTCATTCTTCTTGTGATGAGACAGCTTTCCGAATGAGCGGTAAATTAAAAAAATACATTGTCATGACTGTTCAAAAGTTCTTAAATAAACTTTATTTGAATAAATGATTTTCTATTCTATTCTATTTTATTCCACTTCACTCCACTGTATTGTATAGTACAGACCACTATGGAACAGGTGAGTGCTGCTAGCGCTACGTTGACTGCTGCCACCAGGTAGTCGGGTGAATCAAGGCCCGCTCTGCCCATGACGGGCAGCAGCATGGCGTTGAGTCGCAGAGCCAGGGAGAAGGAGAACATCGCTGTAGGCACGGATAGAGTTGCCTCCATGATCAGGTGACGCCATGCTGAGCAAAAAAAAAAACAACTATAAACTGCTAGCCGATCTGAGCAATTTCGTCTGATTAATAACCCTATCATCTGCTTCTTCCTTATCCCATTTATTTGTGATCGGCGTAATATGTTTTTAGCTTCCATTCATCCCTGTTCGCAGTCATCGCGTTATTTACTTCCTTTCTTACCATATCATCTTTCACACAGTCCATCCATCTCTTTTTCGGTCTCCCTCTGCTCTTATAACCATCCACATTCATTTGTAACACCTTTCTTAAAATATTATCCTCGTTTGATTATTAACCCTATATCCTTCGCAATATCCTTCAAGCATTTCTCAGCCTCGATGGTCTAGCAGTTTAGCACACCACTTTACTTCAATTGATTGCGGGTTCGATTCCTCGCACGGTGCGTGTTAGATATTTTTGATATTTATTTATTCAGTAACAATTTATATTGTATTTGAAATTATACAATTGTAGGGTTCACATCCATATTGTCGAAAAATCTGATATTTTAACAATATTAAAAGAAGGTAGTTTCATTATTACTCGGTATCGTTAAACTAGTTGCGTATAACCCCCACTCATATCTTCTCTGTATAAAAGGGAGGGTTTTTGTCAGCCGCAACATGACCAACCATGAAGGCCAACTCTTGCCTGATGGATACGACTTTAGTCTGAGGGCACCACTAGGGGTTAGAACCTCGGCTCAGGCCGTCGTAACATCGATCCCCGTTTGAATTGGACGGGGGATCGATCGGTGGGGTCGAGACGATGTATATTACAGATGACAGTAGACTGACAATATGTACATAGAACTAATGATCTTATATACTAAATAACAATAGGAATATGTAAGGTGGGGTGACACAGTTTAGACACAGCAGTGCTTAGTACACAATACTGAATTTGTCTTACTAGACATTATTAAATGCAATTATTATTTTGATGTATCTAGGTGACTGTGTCCCATAGATATTCCCCCCTTGAGAGAAAAAAAAATATTATACACAAAAAAAATGTATAAAAGTTAACTGTAAAATTTCAGACATTATGTACTTAAGTAACAATAAAAAATCTTACTTCTTACTTATACTTGAAAAGAGAGTGTGTTTTGTCATCTTGTCTGCCGTCGTATTGATGTATCCGTATAACTCATCTATATTATTGTATTGTATTGTATTGTATTGTATTAAATGTGATTTTATCTTGATTATAAATATATTTTGTTTATCTTATTCTACATTGTTTACTTGGAAATCACTATAGTTACTCTGTTAATGTGAGGCAAGTACAGAGGTAACTTCCCTCACAATTATAAAATGAAAAAATCGTAGATGATACAAACATTATAAAGTACTTAAACTGTGTGATATTTTGCATTAGATAAATTGCTGATATAGTGTTATTTGCGGATGATACTTTGTTAGTGAAATGAAATTAATGTTTATTTACAAAAGAGGACTAGAATTGCACAGAGCAGATCAGTGTTTAAAATTGGTCGTCAAAGTAATAATAATAATAATCTCAGGACAATTCACACAGAGCCATTTAAATTCAAGTTAAGCTAGCTAAAACTCGTGTTATGGGTACTAGATAACTCAAATTCAAACTGATACAAATACATAGATAATCTTTTTTCGTAAATACATACGTTTATACATATAAAATACCCAGACTGATACAAACAATCATACTCATGAATACAAATGTTTGTGCCGTGCGAGGAATCGAACCCGCGACCATCGGTCGTAAAGCGGTGTGCTAGACCGCTAGACCACCGAGGCCGTCTTTACTTTAGAGTTACTATTTAATAAATAGTTTGATGTAGTAATTAATTAGACGATGTAAATTGTGCTATCTCTGCTATATTAAATTGGTTTACATGTAATAACTTATTATTGAATTCCAGCAAAATAAAGTGTATTAAATTTACACTTCTTAATTTAAGGCAAATAAATAAAGCTATTGCTTAATGATAACATAATACATTTTGTTAATATTGTTGATTCAGTTATTTTAGGTATAACAGAGGACTCGAAGTTACAACAGGGGCCTCATATTTCAAACCTAGCAGACCTGTCCACGCGTTGCTGTTGCTAAGGTTCTTGAATAAAATAATATTGCGACTATAAATTGAGATGTAAGCTATCCTATCTTTAAACAACAAATTGCACACAATGTGTAAATCAAATTTGCAATCGGTTCAGTAGTTTAGGAGTCCATCGCGGACTAACAACGTGACACGTAATTTTTATATATAAAGATTAGCCAGTAGACTCAATTCTGCTGGCTATGCAATTAGAAGAATCAGGCAATTAACAGACGTGGCAGCATGTCAACTTGTAGACAAGACAAACGTAAATTAGAAGTGGCCATAAATATTTCTATCAAAAATTTATTAAAATCAAACTCACCTTTCATCCGGAAGTATCTGATGATGGTGAGAGAGACGATGGATGCGAACGACATCAGCATGAGTGGGAAGGAGACGGCGTACCGCACGTTGGCCACCGATGGTATGCAGGTCAGTACTACCAGCACCACTGCCAGGATCAAGCGGCTAGCTGCCATCGCTTGCAGCGCTCGAATCGACCGATTTATCGCTCTCTGATACAAAATACAAATATAAATGACTAACTTTTACCCACGGCTTCGCTCGTATTCAGTCCATTAAATAAGTATTGGGGATCATTACTAATTTATAATATCATTGCTGGCCGATAGATGGCGCTGATTTATAACTTCATTACTGGCCGCTAGATGGCGCTGAAGTAGTATATAAATGTTGATATTTTATTTTTTCGTTTTTTATAAAAAAAAATCTATTTTTTTAATAAGTAGTATTTTATGTTCATTCTAATACCTTCAAGAACATGTGTACGAAATTTCATGATGATTGGTTCAGTAGTTTTTGCGTGAAAGCGCAACAAACATATCTACTTTCACATTTATAATATTAGTAAGTTCTTCAAATAAACTTAATTTAAGCCTTTCGATAACTCATACTTTTTTAATTCTATCACTCATACGGAACTCGAACTCATTACAAGAATTGTTTTTTGAGCGGTTCAGGCTATTGTTAGGTGCTTTGCGACTAAATAGATCTATTGTGCTCGCCCTCTTTCAGAGTTCGCTACCTAGACCCGTCAGGGACAAGAATTGAGATATTCACAACAATTAATCAGTATGTCTGTAGAAGATGTTGTGTTGTCTGCAGATATTTGTTGTTTACCCGTTTGCCAAACGTTTAATGCGCCACTGGTCATCATGCATATGTTGAATATTGATAGTAGTCTATTGGAGTATTTATTCAGTGCTACAGGTGCTACAATTAATCAGTATGTCTGTAGAAGAAGTTTTGTTGTCTTAGTTTTCCCGCGCAAACGTAATGCGCCACAGATGCAGAATATTGTAGGTCGCAGTGCTACAGGTGCTACAAACATACAACAACAATATATATACAATATATATAACCACTTTCACCAACTATGGTGAAAGGTTATATATTTTTTTTTGTATTGGGTTGTTTGGGCTATTGTTTGTCGAATTGTCGATTGTCGAATCCCAATTCGACATGGTAAATTTCCTGCTTGCTTACCTTCCTGCTCCTCCAGGCGTCGTACATGTGCGAGACAACCACGGCCGGAATGATGAACGGCATCCAGTACAGAGGCACCACCAGCCACGGCTGCGTCAGGTACCTTCACAACATCAGTATCAAGTCATCTTATGATAGCAATGTAATGAAGTTCGGGATCGAGTTCAATAAAACATTAAAAGAAGCTACTTTATTCTATACTAGCTACTCACCCCGATTTCACCTGGGTGTACATGTATTATACATATAAACCTTCCTCTAGAATCACTGTATCTATTTAAAAAACATAGGGACGGACAGACAGCGACAGCGACTTTGTTTTATACACAAGCTTTGCTTACCATGGGACTAGATGGCGCTGTGTTAATTGTACAGGATTATTTATTTATTTTACACTACGTAAATATATGCGTAGGGACTTATTATTGGCTACCTGTTTCATATTTATTGTGGTGGAATACCAGATTTTTTCTATTCAAGTTATAAAAAAAATCTCACCTCATCTGCACAGTGGTGGCGACCATCAGAGGCACGAAGATGGTGACCGTCAGCAGGCCAGCCAGCAGCGACGCCACGCGACCCACCACCGCCAACAACAGCTCTCTTATCATCGGCCATTCTGATATCATCATTTTGAAATATAAATAATCGTATAACTGTTGGAAATTGCTAAACCCAAATAAATATGTGACAAGTTAGAAAGTGACAGACTGCATATATGTCTGTACTGCTTACAGTCTTGTAATCTATGAAGTTGTCGCTGTAATTACTCTGTGCATTAGAAAAGTGTTGTTTAATCTGTGTATATGTTCATTAATTCATCAGTCATATTTTAATATTTCTTTTCGTGCACGTATGTATGACTATTCTAGTTAATACACTATCCTAAAATATTTTCTGGAAGAAATCTCTTTTATAAGCTCGCCCTTGTACTGTTTTCCTATGTGTATACAAAAGAATAAAATAAAATATTTTTTTATTCTGCCACTAATTCGGAACTTAGTTGAAATTTCACAATGTACATTTTACTCTGTCTCTTATGAGTAAATCTAATATTTTTTTTATGGAAGATAATGGCATGGTGCACCCGCCTGCGCTAACGGATTACGCTGGCGGGGCACCAGTGGAGGATGATAAGATGAGCATGAGGTCAGTCAGTTAGCCCATCGTGACAAATTCACTAAGAATTTATCACGATGGTTTCCAGTGGAACCGCGTGGAGGTGAACCTGACATGGTACATAGCAATAAGATCATCAGGGGGGGAAAGGGGATTGTTAGTAATGTGGACTGATGACCTATTGCTAGCAATATACCATGTCAGGTTGACCTCCACGCGGTACCCCCTGGAAACCATCGTAACAAATTCCTGGAGAATTTGTCACGATGGGCTAACTAACCTGACCTCATACTCATCTTATCATCCTCCACTGGAGCCCCGCCAGCGTAAACCGTTAGCGCAGGCGGGTGCACCATTCCATTATCATCCATAAAAAAAATAAGATCATCAGTCCACATTACTAACAATCCACTTTCTCCTCCAATTCTAAAATATTACAAAGAAAATGTTTGAATGGAACACAAAAACATATAAAACCGACCCTAAATAAATAGGATAAGGAAGAAGCAGTTGATGATGATACAAAGAACATCTTAAATTAAGGAAATGTTTATATTAAGGTTGCACGGTACATGTAGATATATGTATACGAAACAATACTTACGGAATCCGACCAGCCATAAATAATAGAGTACGGAGAGTATTGCCAGTAGTGAAATCAGTGAGTCGACAACTGCTGCGATTGTCCGGGAGTACGATATCACGGACGTGTTCAGGTAATCATAGTACACTGAAGTAGACGACTCCACCTGGAAGAACGACGAACAGTTATAATAATTAACTGTAAATATATCTATACATATAAATAAAATTGGAGTGTCGGTTTGGTATATTGAATATATATTGAAATAACTGTTTTTTACTACATGCATATGAATATAAATACGGTACATACACCAAAATAGCATTTTTTTTTCAATTTATTTGTTTGTCTGTCTGTCTGTCCGGAACAAACAGACGGACGTCTGTTTGTTTCAGTTAATCTCTGAAATAGCTGGACTGATTTTGACAGGATTTATTTTGGCAGGCAGCTGATGTAATAAGGAGTAACTTAGGCTACTTTTATTTTAGAAAAATAAAGTTAAAATCCACGCGGACGAAGTCGCGGGAACAGCTAGTATATAATATAGATAGAAAAACCTAGATTAACACAAACAATCATACTCATGAATACAAATGTTTGCGCCGTGAAATTGAACCCGCGACTATATGAAGTAAAGCGGTGTGCTAACCGATATAACCTGATATGTTTTTTTATGGTGTTTTACATTTTGATCTCCTTTCAATAGAGCGATTGCGCTATCGGTGTACGCTCGCTGGTATTAGTGAAACGTAATTTACTATATCTACTAGGAAATCTGACCACGCGATGGTTTTTAATGTATGTACATGTATCAGATATATTACTGTAGTTTCATCAAAATCCGTTCAGTAGTTTTTGCGTGAAAGAGTAACAAACACCCATACTTACAAACTTTCGCGTTTATAATATTAATACGATATATATTCTGAAGGTATACCTTAGTGTCGAGGTCCTGCAGGTCAGCCAGCTCTGTTAGGAACGGGAGTAGCATATCACCAGCGCACTGCACCACACCCTCGCGGAGGAGATCCGGTGCATCATACCGGGTGTGGTACACGTGGCCACCCTTGGAGTACGCTATGTCGATACCTGGCGATGACCACACCATTAACAAATATATTTTTGTCATTAAAAAAAATGTTTCAAATTATCTTTATTCATATAGATCTATTACAGACTTATGATATGTCAAATCTACCGTCAGGACGGAATGATTTCGAGATGAGAAGATCTGACAAGAAACTCAGCTCGTATTCTTTTCAAATAAATGATGTATTATACATGTTTACAATAATACAGTTTCATTAAAACGACGAAATGACGAATGTGTGTTGCCAGTGATGACTTACGGAACAGAGACGTGGTCGCTAACTATGGGCCCCATCAACAAGCTCAGAGTCACTCAGAGGGCTATATAGAGGGCTATGCTCGGAGTTACTCTGCGTGATCGAATCAGAAATGAGGAGATCCGCAGAAGAACCAGAGTGACCGACATAGCCCGAAGAATTGCGACTTTGAAGTGGCAATGGGCAGGGCACATAGCTCGTAGGACAGATGGCCGTTGGGGCAGTAAAGTCCTCGAGTGGCGACCACAGACCGGAAGACAGCGTGGGCAGACCTCCAGCAAGGTGGAACGACGATCTGGTCAAGATCGCTGGAAGGCATTGGATGCGAGCAGCGCAGGACCGATCGTCGTGGAGATCTTTGGGGGAGGCCTATGTCCAGCAGTGGACGTCTTCCGGGCTGCGATGATGATGATGATGATGATGATGATTAAAATTCAAATTTGGGAGAATAGTGACCACCAGCACATGCTATTGCAATAGAAAACAGTCTAATCAGTGTTCGTAACTCGTACAGACCAGTCCCCACACGTTCACGAGTATGACGGATGTGCCAGTCATATCCAAGTGTTAATATTAATATGTATATCTTAACACTAGATGGCGCTTATTCACTTATTCTTTTGTGCTATTTGTATAATTACAGAACATATGTTTTTTTTCGGACTACTCTGATGCTGTTGGCCGCAGCTGGCCTTTACAGCTTCACCGGACGATAGAGGGCGAGTGCAGATGGCACTCCAAACCAAAGGAAGTACTTATGAAGCGGCTGAAGGCCAACTCCTGCCAGACGGATACGTCTTTAGTCTGAGGGCACCACTAGGGGTTCGAACCTCGACTCAGACCGTCGTAACATCGATCCCCGTTGAATTGTACGGGGGATCGATCGGAGGGGCGAGAGAGAGATCGCGCGCAGAACATATGTTTTAATAGTTATGTTATTTATTTACCAGTAATGTTGGCGAAGTCCCTCCATATCCGGAAGTCAGTGTCGGAGGGGATGGCCCCCGACTGGAACAGGAATTCCCCGAATGCTTGCGCGTTGGGACGACGAGCACGGCGCTTGAACGCACTCAGCACGCGCTCGTCCGTCACCTGCCATACAAATAGACAATGTTTAATCTATAGTCTATTCAAAAAACAAACTATAGATTAATACATAGACTAAAAATATGACTGACTGACTGACATAGTGATCTATCAACGCACAGCCCAAACCACTGGATGGATCGGGCTGAAATTTGGCATGCAGGTAGATGTTATGATGTAGGCTTCCGCTAAGAAAGGATTTAAATTAATTCTACCCCCAAGGGGATAAAATAGGGGTTGAAAGTTTGTATGAAACTTTGTCAATTTTAAACCGATCGGGCTGAGACTTTGCATGCATAAAGCTACTATGACGTAGGCATCCCCTAAGAAAGGGTTTTGATAAATTCCACCCCTAAGGGGATAAAATAGGGGATATGCAGGATGTAAATGTATTAGTTTATACCTATCAGTACCTAATGGAACGAATAAATTAAGACGATCAAATAAATTTTTAGTTCTTTGGGCTACTTTTATTTTAGAAAAATAAAGTTAGATTCCACGCGGACCAAGTCGCGGGAACAGCTAGTAGATCTATACTATAAATTAAATCCAGAGGCTAAATTGACAGGTGTAAATGAAATCATCAGCGATGCAGATTTATCTGCAGCATTATGCTGAGTTGGCTGCCTTTTCACTTTTGGCAAATAAAGTCAGCTAAATTTCTTTAGCAAAATATTTTAAATAAGTGTTTGTTTTAGGATATACTAGCTACTCGCCCCGGCGTCGCACGGGTGTACATGTATTATATATATAAATTTTCCTCTTGAATCACTCTATCTATTCTTTATTCTTTATTGTACACACACACACATAATAAAAAAATTATACAGAATAAATGTAATGTACAAGGGCGAGCTTATCTCTAAAAAGAGATTTCTTCCAGCAAACCTAGAAAATGTTATAGGATCGTGTATTAAATAGAATAGTCATACATACGTGTACGAAAAGAGGAGATATTAAAATATTGTTCTAATGATATTAACTATTTATTTATTTATTTACAATATATAAACATTCACGTATATATGTATGTAAGTATGTATTTAATTATAGGAGCCAACAGAATATCATGCAGACTTATCTGTAGCTTCATGCTGAGTTGGTTGCCTCCCCATCATTGCGACACATAAAGCCACCTCCATTTTTATTTTATTTTATTTTGTAATATCATATTTCTGTATTATTTAATCTGTAAACTTTATTTCTATTTATAAAATGTATCTCATGTATGCTATGTGTTTGTAATGGCTGAATAAAGAACTTATCTATCTATCTATCTATCTTATTTATATTTGCACATGCGTATACATAAATTTACATAAGATAAATTAACAATACACATGGACTGTTTAAAGAGTATGGCAATTTCGTAGATGACTCATTCCAATAATAAAATTTAAAATTTAGATCTGTTGTAGTGTCCAGTTAGCTCCTATAGTATGTCTGTTAAAAATTCTTTTACTGTATAGTAAGCTTTGTCGGTCAGTAGTTGTTTAAGCCTTTTTTTAAATAAATTAATTTTATCTTCTTGTTTTATGGTTTCCGGGATTTTATTATATATTACAATGGATCGGTAATACGGACTCGCCCTAAACATTTCTATTTTAGGTTCTGGTAGGGCCAGTTGGCTTTTTAATCTATTATTACATTTAAAATTAAAATATGATAAATGCTCATGAACAAATACAGCTATCTCCAATATATAAATAGACGGTAAAGTTAATATTTTTAATTTTTTAAAGTGTGGTTTGCAACTGTCAAATCGCTTTATGTTTGCTATCACGCGCATGCACTTTTTTTGTGTTATGAATAGGTCCGCGGCGTTTGTGCTTTCTCCCCAAAGGATTATTCCATAACGAAGCCATGCATGTGCATAAGCATAATAAGCTGCCACTGCGCATTGCGTATTCGTATTCCTTTTTAGCATCGATAACGCATATATAAATTGTGATAGTTTTGTTTTTGTATTAGATATGTGTTTTTTCCAGTTTACGTATGTATCTATAGTCAGGCCAAGTAAGTTGAAATCTGGTACCTCTTTTATATTATGCTTAAGTTGGATGTCTGTTAAATTTAGCGGTGTTTTCTGGTAAGGTCGAAATTGGATAATTTTTGTCTTAGTCATATTAATTTGAAGGTTGTGATCTAGAAGCCAATTCTGTGTAGTGACAAAGATTTCGGATATATGTGAGTTATTGTCGCGATCATTAGGACATTCGAACAATAACGATATATCATCGGCAAACAGAACACATGCTGAGTTTGTAATTTTTGGAAGGTCATTTATGTATATAAGAAACAATACACATCCCAGAACACTCCCCTGAGGAATGGAGTGATTAATGTTTCGTTTTTCGGATGTGACATCAGACAATTTACAAGTATGCTCATCGTAGTGGTTCACCTGTACGTATTGTACTCTATTTGCCAGGTATGACTTTAACCATCTGTTTGCTGGTCCGCGAATTCCGATACCATTTAATTTAGAAAGTAGGATTTCGTGAGATACACAGTCATAGGCTTTTGTCATATCTAGTAACAGTCCGACTGCGTAATTCTTATTTCTTATATAGGTTAATAATTTTTGGATGTAGTGGTAGACAGCAAGTGTAGTTGAGCGTTTTTCACGAAAACCAAACTGGTTATTATCAAGTAGTTTAAATTTTTCCAAGAATTTATAAATTCGATTTGACATGGGTTTTTCAAATATTTTTGATATTGTCGGTAATAATGCAATTGGTCTATATTGACTGGGGTCTGAGACTTTGTGTATTCTGTATCAATATTCTAAATTCTGTCTCGAAAGGAATTACTGGTGTTTGTCTCGTTCTTTGATTCTCTTGTTTGTATATGGTTATCTTTATTTACGGCTGTTTTTGGTGATGTTGCTTGGTTGTTGATTGTAGTGTAATTGTGCTGCATCGCCTGTGATGGAGAAGTTTTTTTCTCTGTGTTGCCTATGGACTGGGTTTCGAGGTATTCTTTTCCGTTAATAAACAATTTGTTATCTCTCATTATTGCATGTTTGCCATTGTTTCTTGCTTCACGTAATATCTTTCTCAAATTGTAGCGTTTTTTTTGTTCATTTATATCTAAGAATTCAGTCACGGTGAACCCGGTGTTTTTAAAATAATGTTTGTTTAGTAGTATTATCCTTGACATTTTCTTACTAATTAGTTCTATTTCTAAAGGTCTAAAGCGTCCCTGTCTTCCTATGCGTTTAGTCTCTTCAATATACCCGTCTAGGTTTATTTTAAGTATATCAAAAAATATTTGTATCACGCGATCATGTGTTTCGAATTCTGTTTCTCCGTAGTATTCCTGCAATCCGTGTAGTACAATTGTTCTTGTTCTGCATGTCACGTCTTTGTCATTGATAGATGTTTCTATGGCCGGCTGTAAAGGCTTTGTAGTACAATTTTCGTGTTTGGTTGTTTTTAATTTAGTTTCTAGGGTGCTTATATTTTTGTTCAATTCAATTATTTTGTCTTGTAATTCTGTCTGTTTTTTTGACAGGCCGTCCATACGATGAATGCTTTCCTGTCTTAAAATGGAGATAGCCCCTGATATTTGTTGTTGTATTAGCGATTGTATTTCCTGTATGATAGTTTGTTTATTCTGATCTAATTTATCGCACAATAACTCAAATAATTCCTTATAATTTATGGTTTCCGTTAACATTGTACTAGGTGGGCTAGGAGGTATATTTAGGGTGTCACCTAGTATACTTATATCGGTATGCGATTGATCGTCTATTGACATATCAAAGTTCATGTATTTCGGTGGATTGATGATTTGCTGTGATGCATCTTTACGCCTCACAGTTATGTTTTGTACTTCGAAGTCTTGGTTGTCATTAATAGATCGTATTGGGGTGTTGGTGTTATCCTGTTTTGGCATTTTACAGTGGCAGGCTTGGCATCTCCATGAGAGCTTATGTTCTTGTGTCATTGTATTATAAAATCGTTTCTCTGAAACGTTTGCACATAGTAAGTCATAAGATTCCTTACACAAATTACAAGTAAGAAATCTTTTATGTTGTATGACATGTTTACAACCCGCACACTCCATCTTGTATTTTATGTGAGCAACTATTTGAATTAGATCTTGAGCAATGTCGATTTTTCAAATGAGGAAGTTCTATTGTTTTCTAATAGATGTCGCAACTTTCGATTACAGATGTAGTTCCAGTACTTTAATATAGATGGCTCTTTTTGTATATATATGCCAAATTGTTTCGGTTAATGACAATAAGATTATTGTAGGTAGATTTATAGTTTGCGAGCAGTAGATGCTATTTGTAACTTCACTATGTTGATAAGTTTATTTTAAGTATTATAAAATTTTTCTACTGACTTTTGTTGCTTAGTGCCGTGTACAATGTTTTTCTTCTATATTCCTGTGCGGTGTTCACTATTGTTTTCAATCAGGTAGGGATTATTTGTTTTCACTTTATTCAGTTTAATATACACTATTCACTGTTGATAACATTTGTACACGTTATTTAAGGTAATTGGAGTTGTTTAATGCAATTTTTGAGTAGATATATTTGGTAATTTATTTTATTTAAGTACAAAATTACGGACTAAATGTTCACGATATGGCAGCGCCATCTACTCCCTATAAGTATCAATAGACATACATAACTATATAAATATATAGACATACATAAATAAATTATAAGACATAAATTAAAATGTAATTATAATATATACCTAAATATATAAATATAAAAATACGTCAGCATTGTGAAAGTTTTTAATCGGCATTTGAATATTTCAATACTAGAACTGGCACGTATTTCGTGAGGTAAAGAGTTCCACAATTGAATAAAAAAAATATAAAATTATATCTACAGAGTAGCTTCGCTAAGAAGACTATTATAAAAATGCCTTTTAACCAAGAATAGGTTGTGAATTCTGGTTTATATAGTCACCTGAAAGACTGCCGGCTTCCCGTTCATGCCGGCCGCGTCCAAGTTGACGACCACGGTGGCGCCGCGCGACCACGGATGCTGCAGGAAGCCGTGACTCGCCTGCAATCATCACCATCATCATCATCATCACATGACAACACGTCGTACACCATATACACACAAGTACTGGCTGTTTAAGATTGTTAAGATCCTGTTATACTTGTTGGGCGGTATGTTTAAGATAAGTAATTCTAGTTCACTTCGTACAAACTAGATGGCGCCACAGATAAATGTAAATGACGCTATTAAGATGTTTTTGATTTGAATGATTCTCTCTGTAGTATTTTTGTTAGTAAAAACTGTATCATCCCTATTGAATGGTAGTTTCAATTGGAACCCTCAATAGCAACTTTTTGACTTCACGGAGGTCAATCTAGTCTTGGTATCTCATTGATGTATGTAGTTGGGCACTAACCACAATAATAGAAATAGAAATAATCTTTATTCAAATAAACTCATTACAAGCACTTTTGAATAGTCATATTTTGATTCTACCACTCATTCGGAATGCAGATTCATCACAAGAAGAATGAGCAAGAAACTTGTGTGTTGCTCTTTTTAATAGATGTTTTTTTTATATAAATAATTACAGTGTAACAAGAGGCATGCGACAATCAACATAGAAATCGCTACGCACTCATTATTAGTGTAATCAGATAATATTGTCAGTGCTATGTATTTAAAATTTTTCTACAATAATAATAATACAATAATAACAACATTGGACAACGTGGGTTAATTAAAAATTAATGTATTTTAAGTTTACATTTATAAAACTTATATAATTTAAAATCGTTATAAGTTTACTAAATGTAAACCTTAAGATCCTAAATAAATAAATAAAATGAAAGTTTTCTAAATATAAACCTTGGGATCCTAAATAAATAAATGTCTCGGGCAAAATAAGAAGTTTCTAACTCAATCTCACCTGTAAGGGGTTTTCTTCCGCGCCGTTAAACAGGAAAATAACATTGTGTTTGTACCGCTGCGACCGGCGCGCCATCTTCGCCAGTGTTTCAGCCATTACCGCACAAAATACCACATTATCCGATGCACCTGACCAATTAACAAAAACGCGTAAACTTTTTTATAGTAAATGCGATCCCCATCGATGGTAGAAACATATTACTAACCAGGGGCGGATCGTGAATTTATGGGGCCCTGGGCTAAATCTACTTTGACGACCTCGGTGGTCCAGCGGTCTAGCACACCGCTTTACGACCGATGGTCGCGGGTTCGATTCCTCGCACGGCACAAACATTTGTATTCATGAGTATGATTGTTTGTATCGGTCTGGGTGTTTTCTATGTATAATATGTATGTATTTACAAAAAAAAAAAAATATCTATGTATTTGTATCAGTTATCTAGTACCCTTAACACAAGCTTTAGCTAGCTTAACTTGGGTCTAGATGGCGCTGTGTGAATTGTCCTAAGATTATTATTATTACTTAGGGGCCTACCTAATCATATTACTCAACTAAGAATATACACCGACCAAAAACAACTATCGATGGCAACACCGCGGCCGGCTGTCAAAACAAACAGCTCATACATTATTTATATTTTAATTTAATTTTACTAATAAATAATCGTGTATTTTAATAAAATTTAATATAATAAGTGATAATTAATTAGTACCAGTGTTTGTTAAAGACTTCATCAAGATTTAATTTGTGAAATTCTTGCCCGTTCGACATCTTGTCAAACGGGGTCAACGGCAGCAAAATTCGAAAAACTTTGGATAAACTTTGGATAAACCGGGGAAGTATTGTTTTTATTTATATGTTTACCTTTGATTGAGTAATCTATTTAATCAATAAACTACCTCTTAATATAAATACTTTCTTGCTAATCTAAATAATTAGATTGTCATCAATTCATCACATGCTATAGATCGTTTGTTATATACAAATTCTTTGAATGTTGTTTTATTTATAGAAAAATAAGTATCTAGATTTACCATTTTTTACTCATTTTATTCCTAAAGTAATATTAGAAATATTTAACAATAATTGCGACTTACAAAATACACTCCTAACTACCTACATAATAGTACTAACGATTCGTTTATTTTGTCTTTACTGTACTCCCTGACAATTTCTAGTATATTTTCTTAATTAATAATTAATACATAAATATAAAATAATACACAACTACAAAATTGTTTTATAATTTATTAAATTGTCAAGTAATCTTATATATTAACTCCCTAATCAGCCTTACTAAATTGTATATTTTCAATACTCATCTGTTTTATCTTTACTATGTTTCCAGTAAAAATGGTCACTCGCAGTAAGGACTTGGATGTGAAATTGAAGAAGGCTTTACAGGAGTTAAAAGACAAGAAGGAACTATGTGACAAATTAATTCAGGAACGGGATGAGGGGGAGGTAGAAATATCAAATATAGTACATAAAAATACTATATTAAAGCAAAACTTGGCTGAATTAGACTGTAAATTTCAAAATGTACAAAAAGAACGGGATCAACTGCAGTTTCTTGTCGACTCCTTTGACCAGTGCCGGAATGCTCATGACTGTGCACTCAACCGCATTCATGAATTAGAATGTGAATTGTCAGAAGCATATAATAAAATTAACACATTGACCACAAAAATGGGAGACCAAGAAACAGAAAAGACTATGACATTATATGCCGAGTTGATCGAACAAAGTGTATGTGATGAGCCTGACCCTGTCCACTCCATCTCCGACACACAGAAGCCTTTTGTACAACAGAAGCGAGTAAAGCACCCTCTAACTAATTACAATAGTAAGAACTATAGAAAAATAAGCAGACAAATTAAAAGATTAAGAAAATCTTTCAAACTTAATCAAACTGCCTTATCAAAATTAGTAAAAGAAAAAGAATTTAATTTTGAAAAACAATTAGAATATTATGAAAATCAGTTCTGGACCCATAAATTACAGTTTGATACAAATACTACAAGGTTATTATTGCATATAAAAGAACTGGAAACAACATTGGATGCTATTAGTGACAAGTACTCACATGCTCAGTTTCAAATATCAAAACATAATGTTGTGATGAAGGAATTGCTTGAATTTAACTCAAAAAGTGAAAGTGGAACATCAGAACAACTGTCACAGCAACATGCAGACTGCAACACTATGTCGGGCAATTACACATCACCTTCATCAACATCCATTGTCACTCCGGAACAAACAAATATACTACCCAATGTTGTTAGTAGTCACCACACATGTAAGAATAACACTGTAATATATTCAGATAGTATAGGAATAAATCTAGGATCGCTCATGAATAACTGTTTGAGTGAACATATCCAAAACAATTGTACGAATGCCCCATTTAATTATATAGTTGATAGAATGTTAAAAAATCAAAATAGTTATACTGAATACACAACTATTGTGTTATTCATTGGAAATAGTTTAGGTATCACTCAAAATGATTTGATGAACTTATTTGAATCTGTCTCAAATATGAGAATTAAAAAATTTGTAATTTGTACATTTCCATACTCAAAATCATTATCAAAGAATAGAAATAATTATATCTTTAAACTTAACACTCATATATATAACATGAGCTGTTATAATGACAACATTCATTGTTTTGATACAAATAAATTTGTAAAAAAATTTACATTGACTAAAAATACTTTGTATTTGTCACATTTTGATAAAAGACATATAGCTACTTTGTTAGCTTATAATATACACAATCCTGTTATAAGTAGTATAACGGGTACTTATTCTGACTGCACAGTTTTTAGTAGTTTTACTAATGTTTCTGTGCAAGAATCTTTAAACTTAAGTTACAGACAAAGAGAAAGCCATCACAACTAAATTTAGTACATCAAAATATTCAAGGCTTTCTTGGCAAAGAATTAGAGATAGAATTATTTATAAGTAAATTTAATATTGACATTGTATGCCTCACAGAACATTGGTTAAAACAGTCCAATATGGTATTTCAGTTACCAAATTATGAAATATTGAGTACATTTACTCGGCAAATTTCAATTAGAGGTGGTTCAATTATTTTATTAAAAAATAACATTAAAGGGAAAGAACGTAAAGATATTGTAGCACTTTCAAATGAATGCATTATAGAATTATCATGTGTAGAACTAGAGAAACACATAATTATATGTGTGTATAGGCCTCCTAACTCAGACTATGAAAAATTTGAGTCTACCATGGAAGATGTACTGAAGTTAGCATTCAAAAGTAACAAATTTATTTTGGTATGTGGGGATTTCAATATAGATCTTCTTGTTGATAGTCCTATAAGTAATAAAATTATGATCTGGATCATATTTTCTTTGAACCTACTAGGATTACATCCACTACGGCAACATGTATTGATAATATATATTGTAATTTTAGTATTTTAAATAAATCGATTATAAATAGATGCCGTCAGACCATTGTGGACAAATAGTAACATTCGCATGTAATGAAAAAAACGAGATTATGTATAAGTTCTACAGACCAACAACAGCATTTAAATTACAGAATTTTAAAAACAGATTAAATGGAAGTTTACCGTTTTTGATGTTTGATAATATTGATCCAAATATATCATATAATCGTTTTTTCAATATAATAAAAAATCATTTTGATAAAAATTTTACAGTAAAGAAACTTAAAGTCAATAATTCTAAGTACGCTGAATGGTCAACATTAGGTATCAATATAAGTAGGGAAAATATGTATCAATTATATGATATTAGATCATATTTGCGTGATCCTATATTCTATGAATATGTCAAAAATTATTCAAAGTTATTCAAAAAAGTATGGTAAGGCCGCCAAGGCACTTTATTTAAAGAATAAAATTAAGTTTTCTAAAAATAAAATAAAAACTACCTGGAATATAATAAATACAGAAACAGGTAACATTAAGTCGCGCCAGTCAGAATATGAGTTAAAAGCAGAAAATGGCGTTATTATTAATAATAATGAACTAGTTGCTCAAACTTTTGATAATTTCTTTTCAACAATACCTCTCAAAGCTACGGAAAATTTAAACTCGTCACCTAGTTTAGCTGAAACATTATTAAAAAATACCATAAATCCTTGCGTTCATGACTTTACTTTTCATCATATCAGTTGCTCCTGTGTGATAAAAACGTTCAACGCTCTCAATCTAAAAGGTACTGAGGATATCTGGGGTATGTCAGTTAGAGTCATGAAAACTGTAATAAGTGAAGTTGCTTCACATTTAACTGAAATATTTAATATGAGCATTGATCAAGGTATTTTTCCAGATCTAATGAAAGTGAGTAAAATAATACCGCTATTTAAATCTGGTGACAAAGACAATATATCAAATTTTAGACCTATCTCAATTTTACCAGTATTTAGTAAGATTTTTGAAAAGATACTACTTACACAAATGTTAGCTCATTTTAATACACATGATTTATTTCATAAACAGCAATTTGGATTTATGAGTGGACGGTCTACTACTGATGCAGGCATTAACTTAATACAAAGTATTTTCGGTGCCTGGGAAGATTCACAGGATGCCATTGGTGTCTTCTGTGATCTCTCTAAAGCGTTTGATTGCGTTGACCATAGGATATTATTACGCAAACTAGAGCATTATGGAATTAGAGAAAAATCTTCAGAACTCATTGGATCATATTTGCGCGATAGCAAGTGGTAGACATTAAAGGAAGCAAGTCCAAGGGGTCATTTATAAAAATGGGTGTACCCCAGGGTTCTATACTTGGCCCATTTCTTTTTCTTGTTTATATAAATGACTTACCATACCAGTTTCAAAACATACTTGACATAGTATTGTTTGCTGATGACACATCACTTATTTTCAAAGTGAAAAGAAATACAAAGGATTTTAATAATATAAATATTGCTCTTGAGGATGTTCTAAACTGGTTTACATCAAATAATCACGCTTAATTCAATGAAAACAAAATGTGTTAAATTCTCTTTACCAAATGTAAAACAAGTAACGACAACTGTTAGTATGAATCATCATGTTTTGGACTTTGTTGATGAGACTTCGTTTCTTGGTATTGTAATAGATAATAAATTGCAGTGGGGTCCACATATATTCACACTAGCCAAAAGACTCTCGGCTGCTTTTGCTATCAGAAAAATTAGACAGTTGACTGATACTGCAACAGCGAAACTAGTGTATTTTAGTTACTTCCATAGTATAATGTCGTATGGTATTATATGGGGAAGAGCGGCTGATGTAGAATCAATTTTTATATTACAAAAAAGAGCAATTCGTTCAATATATAATTTACCGTGTCGCGATGGCATCTCTTAGAGAACGCTTTAAAGAAACAGGTATTCTTACTGTTCCCTCTCAATATATATATGAAAATATTATGTATGTACGCAAAAACTTAAATTTATTTCCAAAAAATAGTCACTTACACGCTTTTAATACAAGGAATAAAAATAAATTAAATATGCCTAGTTATCGTCTCAAAAAAGTAAGTACATCTTTCATGGGACATTGTATACGTTTTTATAATAAATTGCCAGATAGTGTTTTAAATTTAAGTGAAGCCAAATTTAAGATGCATGTAAAAAAAACACTTTGCTCTAAAGCTTATTATAAAATAAACGACTACTTAAATGACTATGTGTGGACTTAATTACAATTTTAACTTTTGTTATGAGGCATATAATATTGACATGGATAATGTAATAACAATAAAGAAACTTATTATAAATTTTGTAATGACATATTGTAAATTAAATATTGTAAATTAAATAATGTAAATTTAATATTGTAATGGGTGAAAACTGTGATCGGTACAGCCTATGCTGTAAATAATATAATTGACGTAGTGGAGTAACCTGAAACAGTCATGCTCGCTATAAAGTTCAAACTTGTGGCGGCGTGGGCGATGTGCTCCCTCAAATATGGTTGAGTACAATGATGGCTGGCTCATACGTCATACTCGTGAACGGGTGCTGCTTGTGGGGACTGGTCTGTTCAGGTTGTGAACACTGATTAAATTTTTTGTTCTTTGCGATAGCATATGCTGGTGGTCACTCTATTCTCCCAAATTTGATTTTAATAACTGTATTTATCGTAAACATGTTCCACTATTATTTGAAAAAAATTACGAGCTGAGTTTCTTGTCAGTTCTTCTCATCTCGATATCATTCCGAACTGACGGTAGATTTGACATATCATAAGAGTCTGTAATAGACCTACATGAATAAAGATATTTTGAATTTGAATTTGAACAAGCGACTAGAAATTCCCCGTTCCTTTCGATAGACGCGAACTTGCATGTGTTGATTGATCTCCGGGTTGCCAACTTATTAGATTTTTTAACATTCTAGATATTTTTTTATATTCTAAATATCGTTTTAGTAGGGACTGGGGGCCCTTTGTATCCTCGGGGCCCTGTGCTGCAATCCAAAAAGCACTTAGGTAGATCCGCCCCTGGTACGTCTTAAGCTTTACAAGTTTGTGACATTATGTGTGATCTGCAGCAATACAGAAAGGTTGAAGCTCAGCGTGGAACATTGTTCAGAGAACAAAACACTCATTTTCAGCTTCAAATATACTTCAAAATACTAAAACGATATTTAGAATATGAAAAAATATCTAGAATGTTAAAAAACCTAATAAGTTGGCAACCCTGAGATCAATCAACCCATGCACTTGCATGGAAATTCCCCATTCCTTTCAAATGGGGAATTTCTGGTCGCTTGTTTTTGGTCGGTGTATTTTTTTAGTTGAGTAATATAATTAGGTACGGTAGGTAGGCACCTAAGTAGATTTAGCTCAGAGCCCCACAAATTCACCATCCGCCCCTATGACGTACTATGTATTGACTATAATTATGAACATGTAATTGTGTGTGATTAGTACTGTAGCAGCACACATGATTAGTGGAATACAGCTACGCGCCAACTGCCGGCGCAATTTTTTTTTTTTCGGTCTACTCTAATGCTATTGGCCGTAGCTGGCCTTTACAGCTTCACCGGACGTTATGGGGCGAGTGCAGATTGCACTCCAAACCAAGGAAGGACTTATGGAGCGTCTGAAGGCCAACTCCCGCCTGACGGATACGACTTTAGTCTGAGGGCACCACTAGGGGTTCGAACCTCGGCTCAGGCCGTCGTAATTTCGATCCCCGTTTGAATTGGACGGGGGATCGATCGGAGGGGAGAGGAGGAGGTTGCCGGCGCAACGCGATCGCCGCGCTTATAAACCCGGTGCGAGCGGGAGCGCACTAGCATTGCCTTCTCACTTCATGAATGGAATCACCTGTTTGTATAGTATACTAATGACATGATTTTACGCACATAAGTTGTAAAGCATTCCAAATAAATCAATCCACGGATACTACTAAATTAGTGGTTTCTCTTCATCCCATACGTGCTACTACAGTACCAAACATATAAATATCGATATATCTGTCTATTTGTCTATTTATTTATTTAATTCGGGCTACATGGCCCATATTATAAATATCTTACCTAATGAATATGGCACAGAATCATAGTGGCAGTTGACCAGTATCGACGAGCGAGTGGAACCATCGGCATTGAATCCGCTGTCTCCCTCTAACACTGCTACGATGTTGGACAGATTGTGATAGTAATTTAAGAAAGGAGTAGATGTATTCATCAGGTAACTGCCTGGAAGTAATAAAATTAAACATTAATATTTGACGGATTCTGTGGTCTAGCAGTCCCAAGTGCATAGCTTGGGACTAGATGGTGCTAGTATTATGGATACTAGACAACTGATACAAATATGTATGTACCTATACATTTCTTAGGCAAACGTAAGGCAACGAAAACTAGACTTGTTTATTGCCTAATATTCCCCATTTTCCTATATGCGTCGGAGACATGGACTCTTCGTGAAACGGAGAAGAAGAAAGTTGATGCGTTAGAGATGTGGTGCTGGAGACGGATGCTAGGAATATCGTGGACAGTTTTAATGATTCCATATTAAAACAACTCTGCATCAGACAAATCCACAGTGCAATCAATTCTGACCTTCTTCGGCCACGTATCTCGAGGTGGTAATGAATAGAGCGTCTCGTAGTGCAGGGAAAAGTGGAAGGCACCAGGCCACGTGGTACACCAATGAGATGGACAGACCAGATCAAGGCCGCAACTAAGTGCTCAGTTTACGAATGTACCCGGAAAGCTACAGTCTGCGACGAATGGCGCCATATTACCAAAAACCTCACTCATCGTGATTTAAAATGTTGATCACGACCACTCTGACAAGAGTGTACCGACTAAGAAGAAGAAGATACATTTCTTTCGTAAATACATACATAATTTATTTATTAATTCTTAACAATAAATATAAAAAGTTATTATCTAAATATTACAGAAAAAAAAACATATATTTCTAAATTAATAATAATAATACGACAATTCACACAGTCATAGTCCCAAGTTAAGCTAGCTAAAGCTAGTGTTATAAGTACTAGACAACTGATACAAATACTTTATAATTTCTATGTATAATATGTAAATACATACATGTTATACATAGAAAACACCCAGAGCGATACAAGCAATCATACACAATTATACACAACAGACGAGTGTCTATTGTGTATGATTGCTTTTAGACTGATACAGACAATCATACTCATGAATACAAATGTTTGTGCCGTGCGAGGAATCGAACCCGCGACCATCGGACGTGAAGCGGTGTGCTAGACCGCTAGACCACCGAGGTCGAATTAGTAATAATAAACCCTACATAAATAATGTATATAAAAAATAAAATAATATACATAAAGAATACAAATACTTGCACGGTGCAAGGACTGGAACCCATCTAAATGTCTAACACACCGAGATCGCCAAATGTAAAAGAAAATATAAAATACCTGTCGCATACTGCCAGTCCGTTCTAACTGGTATCCTGGTCTGCCGAGCTATGTCGTCCACCATGCTCTTCACGTCCCTGGTCTTCTGAAGATGGTATGCCGTCCCCGCAACCCTGGGCTCGTCACCCATTATCAAACGCAGGTACCTCCAAGCGGATTCCTCGCTGAACTGGTCTGGACTCTGCGTGTCATAATATTACATTTTTTTTAATTAACTGCCGCAGTTTCAATTGCGGTAATTTTCAATATAAACTATAGCCTATGTGTTACTCTGATGCAGAAGCTATATTATTGAAAAGTTTCATCAAAATCCGTTCAGTAGTTTTTGCGTGAAAGTAACAAACATTCATACTTACAAATTTCTCGTTTATAATATTATTAAGACTAAGACTAGCTGTGCTCGCGACTTCGTCCGCGTGAAATAGAGACCTCGGATGGCATAAAATATTTAATAATCTAACCCAAAAATGACAAAAAAAGCTTCAAAAATGACGCATTTAACGAAAGGTCTATCCAGGGCCGGCGCTAGGGTCCTCAGCGCCCGCATGCAATTTTTATTTCTCAACCGCGTTAGGATAAAAGTTGCATGCGTATTCATAATTAAGTTACATTATTTATTATAATTTATTAAGTATTCTATAGATTCTATACTTTAATAAAATTATAGTATATATCCGAATCTCATGATGGCGCACCCTTCGACGAGGCCCTGGCACTGCTATCCCACATGCGTTGGGATGAAAAATAGATATTGGCCGATTCTCAGACCTACTCAATACGCTCACAAAATTTCATGAGAATCGGTCAAGCCGTTTCGTAGGAGTATGGGAACGAAAAATGTGACACGAGAATTTTATATATAAGATATAACTTACGTCTCTTGCAATATCTATATCTTGGTATGGAGTAGGCATATTATCTTCAACTAGTTGCGTCATATATCCGAGAAGGAAGTATAAGCCCAGTAATACTATAATTATTGTGCTTGGTACCTGTAAATTAATATTTTTAATTATAACACTATGTTCATACTAGCTTTCCCGCGAAACTTCGTCTGCATCTCACTTACTTGACATTTATTCTTATATTTCGCCCAATTCACATAATACCTTTTTAAATTATTGCTTATGTATTATTCTAATGTACAAACTATATTACTACTAGCAGACCCGGCCAAGCGTTGCCTAAAGTTCTTGAATAAAATAATATTGCGATTATAAATCGAGATATAAGCAATGTGCAATACAAATTTACAGGAGTTTAGAGTCAATCGCGGATAAACAACGTGATACGTAATTTTTATATACAAAAATAAAGATTCACCAAAATCCGTTTAGAAGTTTTTGCGTGAAAGAGTAACAAACATTCATCCATACTCACAAACTTTCACATTTATAATATAAATAAGATTAGTCAGAATAAGGTACAGAGAGACGAATTTCTCAGCATTCCATGGATCCCCGTGCGGGGGCCGGGTCCTTCGTGTAGCAGAGTCCCCAGGACTTGTAACCCGGGTGTAAGTTCCCCCTTTTTACACTACGATGGTAGCAACCAAGCATACGCCCATCTGATGGTAAATGGTTACCGTAGCCTATGGACGCCTGAGATACCAGGAGTGTCACGTGCGCGTTCCTGACCCTTAAGGGTAAACCTTAAACCTTATATACCATTCTTACCGTCGTACATCAACACTCACCTTCACGCTCATGGTCCTTGTCCCGCCTAAATAAATCTAGTAGGAGTCGCAATGCACTTTTCGAGTATATACACGTTCTAGTATACTTTATTTTTGGTTTTGACAGATTTCAAATACCATAAGTATCTCAAAATTTGATAATAAATTCATAATATCTTGTATTATTAATAGAAATATTATATTGTATCATAGAAGTATAACGAAAGCGATAAGTGCAAAACTCTTTACATAATTTGTAAATGAAATAACGTACGAAAAAGAGGGCCATTCGCTCCATTTATGGTATGGGTTCCAGAGAGTCATTGCGAGTGTTTTAAGGAATCAAATATCCTCACCGTTGCTTCTCAATACATTTATGAAAATATCATGTATGCCAGAAGGAATATAGACAGTTTCAAAAGAGTTAGTGATTGCACTAATAAAAGCTTACGTAACAATAACAAACTGATTTTACCTAAATGTCGTTTGGCTAAAGTTAGTAATTCGTTTTATGGCAATTGCGTAAGGTTTTACAATAAAATACCAGAGTCTTATAAATCTGCCAGAAAAATGATTTAAATGTCAAAAGTTCCTTTGCAAAAAACCTTTATAAATTGAAGAATTCGTTAACGATAATAATGTTTTTATAGAAAAACTTTTAATCTATAGCACTGACAATATTATCTGATTACATTAATAATGAGTGCGTAGCGACTTCTATGTTGATTATCGCATGCCTCTTACTTGTTATACTGTAATTATTTATATATATAAAAAAAAACATCTATTAAAAAGAGCAACACACAAGTTTCCTGCTCATTCTTCTTGTGATGAATCTACATTCCGAATGAGTGATAGAATCAAAATATGACTATTCAAAAGTGCTTGTAATGAGTTTATTTGAATAAAGACTATTTCTATTTCTATTTCTATAAATGTGACAATTAAAGTAATTATTTAGCAGAAGATGGATTAAGCTAAGCACATTCTATTTAAAACGTTTATTATCCTTTTGACAAAAATGCAATATCATTTGCTAGTTCAATACATTCTCCTTAAATGAATTTATAAATGAATCTGTATTATTGTAATCATGTACAAGCTCATTTGAAAAGAATAACTGAGAGTTGTCAGTTCTTCTCAGCTCGAAAGCACTCCGAACTGACGGTAGATCTAACATATCATAAAGGTGGTGTATCGGCGCTGCCGTGGCAGATTGCCATCGTCAATGCCGTGAGCATACAGACAATTTTATATTTTTTTAAATAAAAATAAAAATTAGGGGTGGACTACCCCTAACATTTAGGGGGATGAAAAATAGATGTTGGCCGATTCTCAGACTTACTCAATACGCTCACAAAATTTCATGAGAATCGGTCAAGTCGTTTCGGAGGAGTATGGGAACGAAAACTGTGACACGAGAATTTTATATATAAGAGTATAATATTAATTCATATATATGTTAGTCCATAAAGTATTTATATGGGCCATTAGTAGCCTGAAATAAACAAATAAATAAAAACAAGAGTCTATAATAGACCTTCATAAAGAAGATTTGATTTCATTCACAACAAATCTATACAAACAGTATGACTTATACTCTTGTACAATTACCAGAATATTTCATTATCAAGTTAATAGCTACGTGAAATCGGTTAACAGGTGTCCTATGTTTTAATCTAGGCTAGGGTTTAATTTTTGTCAAAAGGTAATAATTTAATCAGTAGTCATAACCCAGATAGACCAGTCCCCATAAGCAGCAAACAAGCAAATACATACCAACATTATTTATAAAACTATCTCTTATTTTACACATAAAACAAAAATAAGAAAAATATATTCAAATAAAAAAATAACATAAATATTAGCTATTAATCAAATAATGATATTATAATTCAATGAATACAGTAATGATACAACTATTTAATATATTAATAAAATATAAATACATAATTATTATTTATTCATAGATATTTTTTGTAAATACATACATATTATACATAGAAAACACTCAGACAAATACAATCACACTCATGAATACAAATGTTTGTACCATGCGAGGAATCGAACCCTCGACCATAGGATGTACGGCGGTGTGCTAATACGCTAGACCACTGAGGGCGCTGAATATGTAAGTTTTTGATAAGAACTAGGTAAATTAATAATGCTTTTATATACCCTTGACATAAAACATCACGACACAAACATGTCCCAACAATTAATTTGCCCAGAAAAATATTTTTACTCACTGACTTAATGGGCTCATACAAATGTGTCCCTTTTCTTGTAACCTCATACATAACCTAAAAAATAAATAATAAATAAAACCAAACAATAAAAAAATAATCATAAAACAAAAGAAAAATAATAGAAATATTAGCAATTAATGTGTTAATGATATGTCAGATTTTAATGAATAGATTAATGATATTATTAAATAAGCGGTGAACATAAATAATTGACAATAAATATTGTTTTAATTAATTTAAAGTGTGTTATAGCACATAAAAATATATGTACACATCAACTAGTATATGTGTTATGTATGTGTTGTATGAGTTAAATGAAAAGTTCACCCGCTGCCAGGGTTTTTCATGTTGTTCCTTATCGTACTCTCGAGTTGATACATGTACAGTCTCTTGGCCGCCGTTCTGAAAATTCATAAACATACATACAGCAGGTTTTTTTATGGACGACTAGCTTTGCCCGCGGTTTCACTCGTTACATTTCAGTAACAAATAGGATATCGTCGGTTAAATAGAAAAATGGCTGTATTCAAAATGTACATTTTTTACAAACATTGAATGTTTTTAAGTTTATTTAAATTATTAGTTTTTCCTTTAAAGTTTTAAATTTACACAGAAATATTATACATCATTTTGAAAGTATTTAGATAATGATTAAGACGGCGTGGTTAATTTAATTTACTTATATAAAAGAAGGCAATTCTAGCTTCTAATCATGAAAAATGACATTTATTTATTTAATTGACGGTGTGTTATTCTGATGCATAAGCTATATTACTGTAAAGTTTCATCAAAATGCGTTCAGTAGTTTTTATGTGAAAGTATACCAACTACTATTTTTTAAAAGCGATTTCAATTTATATAGCAAAACAACGTTTGCCGGGACAGTTAGTATGCTATAAAAAATTGTGAGGGCGTGTACCTATATTAGGTATTTTTGGTACAGTTAAAATAATATAGGTCGGGTTATCAGAGATAACGCGGTTAGATAGATGCTTATCACTGAACTTGTCACTTGCTGATAAATGTATTGATTCAGTACATGTCATAACATCTACACATATAAATGAAATTGTCTGTGAGTGTCTGTTTGTGATATTGAAATAACAGTTTTTATGAATATAAATACGGTACATACACCAAAATACCATGTTTTACAATTTTTGTCCGTCTATCTGTTTGTTCCGGCTAATCTCTGAAATGGCTAGACCGATTTTGACGGGACATTTTTGACAGGTAGCTGATGTAATAAGGAGTAACTTAGGCTACTTTGATTTTAGAAAAATAAAGTTAAATTCTTATTGTAAATTTTGAACTCACCTAAATGACAATCTACAGACAAACAAACCGTTGATTTATCTATATATTGTTACAATGATATTTCTATATTTTATTATTAATACAAAGGGTAAACATGTAAAATGAACAGAATAATAAGTCACTCCAGTCTCTACAATACAGGCCTGCGAGCCTAGTGTAGAACTACAGTAAATTACAATGTAAATGTGTATCATGAATAAATATTATTATTATTATTATTATTATTATATTGTATAATATTTTCAAAAATCAGTATTATTCTCAAATTGTAATTTTCAACTATAACATTATATGTTAACGAAACTATTCTTTTAATGAATACTAGTTTTATATCAATTTTCGACACTCAATGTCTTGTTTTTAGTAATAAAGTTTATTATATATAAGTTTATATTTTAATGACTGTATCTGGCAGAATAAAGAAAAAGAAAAAATAAATACGCGAAGATAAAACTTTGTACGCTTTTTTAACGAAATTTGCGCGGACGGTGAAGTATGTTTTTTTTTTTTTTAATATTGTGATTGCGCTTGGTCTTACCTCATCTGATGGTAAATGATGGCAAGACGTAGGATATAGCGCGCTTACCCAGAAGATATCTATTCACCATAGAATTGAAGAATCCGGGGTTGTATTTCTCACACTTATAGTTTATATAGAGGAGTTGATAATATTTTTTTATTATGCTTAAAAACCACATTAAAAAACAATAACATGTATTTGACACACACGCATATATGTATACTCTTCTGTTTATTATTAAAGTCTGTGCTCAAATTGAGCATAGATTACTATTGTTTGTATTTACTATTATTTGTCTATGGTCTTACTGAATGTTAAATTAATGGTGGTCGAATTCCGATCACTGGGCCACCACTAGTTTGTTTTTGGACTACTCTAATGCTGTTGGCCGCAGCTGGTCTAACTTCACAGGGCGATAGGGGGCGAGTGTAGATGGCACTCCAAACCAAAGGAAGGACTTATAGAGCGCCTGAAGGCCAACTCTCGTCTGACGGATACGACTTTCGTCTGAGGGCACCGCTAGGGGTTCGGATCGATCGGAGGGGACTAGTATGTATTTATTAGGTAATTAATTAATAATTATTTACTTTTTTTGTAATTGTTACAATGTTTTGAGTATTTTGTTTTGTTTAATGTGTGTTTTATTTCATTTCATGTCATTAATCATTAAAATTAATCATAATGCTTAACTCTGTACTTGGTCTTACTGATTATCATTATTAATTTATATTTATCTTGATCTTTATTCATTATTATTAAATAATAACAAATGAATTTATATTCCTTTTTGAAATAATGGAATGATGCACCCGCCTGCGCGAACGGTTTACGCTGGTGGAGCACCAGTGGAGGACGGTAAGATGACCATGAGATCAGGTCAGCTATGCCCTCGTGACAAATTCACCAGGAATTTATCATGATAGTTTCTAGAGAGCAAGCGTATGGAGATCAACATGGTACATTGTCCACGTCAGCTATAACGTCAGGTAGGGCTTTTCAATGAGACAATTGAACACTATAATCACTTTTATATTTATCTTTTATTTTAATTCTTGGAAGCCAATATGCGTACGCGCTTTACACTGTACAAAGCAAAAGTGAGGGACCGTCTTAGAGCAGTTTTTTTTTTTTATATTTAAATACATTTTTCCACAGACATATTCGTCCGTGCCTTTTTTAATTTACTTTAATATTATAATATTTATTTAATTTCCATTTTTGTACAACTCCAGCCGAGATGTTACAATTTGCCTAACAATGACACCGAGGCAGACCTTATCCGTCTGGCCCAGAACCACCGCTGGCCGGCCGGGTGAGTTGACAACATGCAGTGTCACCCATCTTTATTTGGAGGATTAGATTTATCAATATGCATATACAATTATATAAATCTTACACTACTACTAATTTCACAGTTTTCATTACATTGTGCAATGTAAGAATTCATAATGTAACAATACACATTATGAATTCTTACACTGCATATACAATATATATATCTAACACTGTTTTCAAAGTTACTATTTGTTATATAGGTTTTGTTTAATTTTTGATTGTTTAATTTCACAGTTCACTTTTTGTCGTAATTCGGCAATTTTTTTTTTTTTTTCCCTTTTTCACTTCCCTTTCCCCTTTTTTTTTATACTTTTAGCGAGCATGTTCCGGCCTTTCCAGTCCAAAGCGCCCCGACGATGCATCAGCTGTTCTGGTTTTCTTTGTGCTGATTATTTTAGCGCAATCAGCGCATCAACGATCGCCCTGTCTCTATTTTTAGAGCAGTCTTAGTCTTAGAGCAGTTACAAAGAAAACTAGCACAACCTCAATATATATATCTACCTACATATATATTAATTTTATTACGTCACTTAATCAATTGGGAGGTTAATGTTTGCATTCCAATACAATTAAATCAACATCCACGTTACCAATCCCCCCCCCTCCCCCTGAATACGTCTGTCTGTATGCTATATAGCAAAAGTAGATACTATAATAAGGTGAAATAACCGTATGTAACATATAAACTAAAAAAATAAAATATCGTTTTATAAATTTATTTAGCAATAAGACCGCCTATTGTTATCTCTATATTGTAATTATGTTGTTATTATATTTGGTATAAATATTAATTTATGTAATTGTTATGGACCTTCTGTGAGAGGAACAACAAAGAGTTTTTTTATATAATTACTTGAATATATATGTACATAGTGGAAAGTGTATAATATGAAAGTGGATGGATATAAAGGGAGGGGACGCCCTAAGAAAAGATGGATGGATTGTGTGAAAGATGATATGAATAAAAGAAGAGTATGTTCAGATATGAAGACCGATAGAGAGCAGTGGAAGAGAATGACATACTGCGCCGACCACAAATAATGGGATAAAGGTAAGGCAATGATGATGTATATAATGTGGAGTGGTATGAATAATTTCATATACAATAACGGGAGATTATTATATTATACATTTTTTTTTTTAATTTGAATAATACATGTACAATATTTAAAAATCGTCTAAGGTCTCATTATCTGTCCCTATAGCAAATTTTTTTTTTTTTTTTTCCTATTTAACTCTGAAATCTTCCAATATGTTGAATATATGTATGTATACTTATTTATATATATATATGTATGTCTATTAATTAGTTTGATAATTATAGTGTCTTGTGTGTGCCATCTACCTCTTCTGTGTATGTTAGTCCTATCTTGCAGGTTGTCTGTAAGAAATTGATTAAGACCGCCTTTTGTTCATAATTTTCTATTTATTGTTTTTTTTTTCTTATTGTATTTTTTCTATGTGCACAATAAAGAGTTTATTATTATTATTATTATTATTATGTTACAATAATATTAAAGCATTAATTAAAAATTTATTAAAGCACAAGGCGAGCTTCAAAGCGTTCGTGGCCCTGGTCCCCACCAATATGCTGCCCACCTTCATGAAGGAGGACTACTGGCCGAAGGGGGTGGTGTATCGGCGCTACCGTGGCAGATTGCCGTCGTCAGTGCCGTGACCATAGAGACAATTTTATTTTTCATATTTTATTATTATTTCTTATGTATGATAGTCTATAAGGTATTTATAATATGGGCCATGTAGCCTGAATTAAATAAATAAAAAAAATTAATTTGAAATTGAAATGTTTTTGTGAAAATGAAAATGTCTTTGTAAGCATGTCAAATAAAAATCATTTTAACTTCACCTTGGACGTAATACTTGTGTTGTCTTGTTTTAATTTCTTTTCATCCTCGTCCGCCATTATTAATATTTGAATATGGAACGCACAATTTAAAACAATAACGAAATAGAGAAAGGCAAAGGAAATTCACATATGCCACTATTATACTTATAATGATTTATAATTTAAATATAGAACTATTTAGACAAAGAAAATTTTCTGTACATATTATTTAAAATTTTTTCTCCATGTTGATTCTGCGGCTACAGAAGTGAAACTAAGAAACAAATCCCTTTATTCATTTATTAACACAAATATGTTTATCAGTGATATAATGTAACGGCTTCTTTATTGCAATAATCCTACATTATGATGTGCGTATTACAC